ATTGTTATTGTTTGCTGCTTTGGGGCTTTTCTTTTGTTTTCCACGATCGCACGCACACGCACACACATGGGCATAAACAGAGCGCGGCGCAAGTTCAAAGTCTGGGGCCCGCGGATTTCACTGTTTTGTTGGGAAAGGAACAGCAGCAGCAGCAAAAGCAGAAGCTGCCGCAACAGGAGAAGGAGCAGGAGGCGGAGAAGGACCGCAGACAGCCACTAATTGGCCCGAATTGCGCATTTATCGGGTAGGACACGCGTCCGCCGATTCTCACATTTTGCGAGGGCATCTCTGTCTTGCTTTTCATACGTTTTGCAAACTTCGCAAGTGGACAACTGGCCCACCAAAATTAGAACTAGAACTTCACTCCACTCCGCCCAATTTGGATGGAAAAACTGCTTCACATTTCACGGACGAGGCGAGTGCGATTTTTCAGGCGGATTTTCATCACGTGATTTTAGTTGGACACTCCGCCGTTTTGCAATAATTTCGTATTCTCCGCGGTGGCCGGCACTTCGAGGTGTCTTGTCCGTCCGTTTGTTTGTATTAATTGCCTTTATTTTATGTTAAATATACAAATTTGTGCAGCGAAAACTCCGCGTTTGTGTGTGTAATTTTGCAGTGTGACCGAAACTTTGCGAGTGTGACTGCCGTTGATAAGAACGATTTCCTCCGGATGGTCTGGCAGCACTATTGTCGTAAGCTCCCTATTCACCGTGATATCTGGCAACGTTATCCATTTATTACGATACCACATGCTAATATCGTAAAATCCTCCCACCTCCCAACATTAACTTCTTTCGTTGGAAAATCGCTTGCTATGAAGATACATGATAAAATTTTGGTTTTGATCTAACATAACTTTATTTCCTACAACTGCAGGTACCAGGAAAGTGCCAGGAATCCAATCATAACAGAAATGCAGAGCGCACATCGTGAATTTTACATTGCGTTTCGGTCGGAGAGTGATTATCTATTGCCACAACAGACTCAAGATGGTCAAGGGGGCATGCCGGGCTCGGCACCCTTCCTGAAGCCTGCGGATATTGCAAAAAATTATAACTTATATCCACAACAAATGTAAGCAAGTGCTTCTTCTTGCCAGCGCGTGTGGGACCATGAAAACAAAGTAAGAAACTTACCTAAATACAACACAAGGGCACGAATCCCCAGTGGAATGTGGTCTGCAGGGCGCCGACGACGACTCCCAGACGCTCCTTGACTCCCTCAGAAAGCTCCATTTTCGTAAATATCAGTTATTTTTCTCTGCCAATTATGAAATAAAATCCAATGCACCGACTAGAGCTGCAAGAACGTCGATTGTCAGTATCGATGTTTTTAAGCATCGATATTTACTCACTGTCAAGAAATAGTGGGTAAGAAATGTTTGCCTTTTGTTGATTTTATGCGAAAATTGCGTCGCAGACTGTCCGAACGAATATGATTTTCAACATTCAGAATTTGTTAATAATAAAGTGACGATATTTTCAAAGAACCATTCTGTAAACTCTCTCCAGGGAACAACGATAGGTCAATTGATATATTATTTCTTAGTCACCATCGATTGAACGATAGTATGGCGGTTATTTGAAAAATTATACCCGTTTACTGAATGGTAGCATATTATATTTAGTTACAATATCACATGTTAATTGGCTGCATCAATAAATTGATCCATTATGAAACTTCGAGTGCCTGAGATCTTAGGGGCACCACTTTCTGTGTTGTAGAATAAACGGCGCTCAAAGCCATCCTTGTTGATTATGCCGATACGTACCACTCCGCCGGAGCTTCCATCCCGGTAAATGGCATGCTGGACAGCTGTGGAGGATAAAACGTTCTGGTTTTATATTAAAAGAAGAAGCGAAGTTACACCCACCCTTCTTGACAAACTCGACGCAGTCTTCCTGCTCCATATTGGGTTTGTGGTGCTCTTTCACATAGCCGTAGATAAAACTCGATCCGGAGCCTCCAATCGTGCAGGGATCGCGGGTCATCATACCCCCAGCGGAACGCTGTACACCTGACCCCCGTTCTGTTCATCCCATCCGGCCACGATGATGCCGGCGAGCAGTGAATCACGATAATTGTAGCAAAAGTTGCGAAACTCAGAAGCGGCCTCTAAGACGAGAGCCTCCTTATCAGTTCGGTTCTCGTGGTAGTTGAGCGAGTAGGCCACAATGTCGGCTATGGCCTGGGTATCGGCGGCAGAGCCACTACGGCAGCAATATATCTTATCTGTGATGCGTGTTAGCTTGTCGGTGACTCGATTGGTCACATAGGCGCCAGCACTGGTGCGGGAATCCGCTCCAATCACGACTCCTCCGTCAAACTCCACAGCCATAATGGTGGTCTGAAACAATGGATGATTATGGGGTTTTATGGTTATTAGTCAAATACTCACGCCAGTGCTTATGGGCTTTTGGGTAAAGTCAAAGTCGAAATCGGGATCCATTTTATATTTGGAATTTACTATACAATTTACAATTCAATTCCAGTCTTTTAAATGTCAAATTATATTTGAATATGTGCTGCAAGGCAATCGATACTAAGCATAGTGTAAAATCGTTATTTCTTCCAATTTGAATGCACTTATCGCTCTTTTTAAACTTCGATAGTATCGATAGTAACATCGATATCTTTGTACGCTTTCAACACGCGGAACGTTTTGTTTTGGTTTCGTAAAAACATATATTAAAACAAACAACAAATGGCATATGTGGCTTTAAGCGAGGCGGAGAAGACTTTTATCCTTCATGGCGTGGAGGTAAGCTACTCGAACTCCTAGGAGATTCCCCTACTAATACGTTTTTAGGAGGACTTTCGATGCGACGGGCGTTCTCGGAGGGATTACCGACCTATGGAGCTGGAGGGGGCTGGTGAGCAATGCTAGTGGCTCTGCCCGCCTCCGCCTGGCCAACACAGACATCTTGGTGGGTGTAAAAACGGAAATCGATGTACCCGATCCACTGACGCCAGATTTCGGCAAGCTAGAGTTCTTTGTTGATTGGTAAGAAGATCGGTTGGACTTATATCTAGCATACTCCTCACTTCCATTCACTTTGCAGCTCGGCCAATGCAACGCCGGAATTCGAGGGACGTGGAGGCTCGGATTTGGCCCAGGAGCTGGTGCTGTCCCTTCAAAACGCCTACGAATCACCACTGGCTTTTGATTATCGCACATTGTGCCTTATCCCTGGTCAGCAGTGCTGGAAGCTCTATATAGACATATTGGTAAGGCTCATAAGTACGCTTTGGTAACGTTTTAATGACTTCTAATCCGGCAGATTTTGGAATGCGGTGGCAATCTTCACGATGCCGTATCCCTGGCCGCCAAGGCCGCACTTTTCAACACAAAGCTGCCCCGGGTGACCGCCACACTACTGGACGCCGGCATCACAGACCTCATTATATCGGATAATCCGTACGACTGCACCCGCATTGGAATTGACACTGTGCCTCTGTTGGTCACCGTCTGCAAGATTGGCGACTTCTGCCTCGTGGACCCATCAGCGGAAGAGGAGTTTGCAGCACCTCGCATGGTGGTATCCGTATCCATGCGCAATGGGAGCCTTCCTATCGGGCACCCATCTGACAGGCGGCGGTGCTATGCACCGGGACACCATGCGCAACTGCCTTCAACTGGGCCTGTCCATTGGCGAGCACCTGGACACTCTGCTCAGAACATGCTAAAGCAGGAGCAGGACCGCGTGGGACCCAAGCGGCCCAAGACAGTTGGTTTCCTTAAATAAAGCTTTTGTTGGTTTAGTGTGAAAATTTACTATTTACTCCAACAAATGACTGTGAGCACCACGCTGCTCTCTTTAGTTTTAAGGCTAAACCTATATGCTGCTGCTGCTGCGATCTTCTAGCTACTGCTCCTTGCGCTTCTTCGTCTGTCTAGTGGCCGGAGCTGTTTCTTCTCCTTGGGCTCCGGCTGCTTGCCCGTCAGCAACGAAGTCAGCATCTCGCTGATCTCGGGCATGTCGTTGCCCATCTGTGGAGTAAATACCGCGTTAATCTGTTAAATGGATCTAGAAGGTTCTCTGGACTTACCTTGGGAACTGCAGGTTGTCTATTTCCTTCTTGGTCTCGGGATCGTTAATCATCTTGGGCAGCACCAGCATAAGCAGCAGGGGCAGAACCATCATCAGCACCATGGGGCTGAACAGGAAGTCGGTAATCTGCAAACAGACAGTTCTAGTTTTTCCTTGAAGTATTTACGTAATGAAGACAACTTACCTTCCACTGCTCCCTAGTCTGGAAGTACTTGAAGGGCATCAGTGGCTTCATTCTCAGCGGATAAGCACCTGCATGATTTGCGCCGGCTGGACAAAGTTCACCTTCGGGCACGGAACTTTCCCTTCGGATTGATCTCGACGCGCACCTTAAAACGGGATAACAAGGGTCAATGGCGTCACCTTAAGGAATGCATCTTGCCACTCACCGGCTCGTAGAATACATCAGGATGGTGGACATCCAGGATATAGCTGCCGGAGGGACTCCGCTGATCAGAACTGGCCATCCTCGCGCACGAATCCCTTGAACTCGCCGTCGTTTATGGAAACGTCACCTCAGTCTGCCATTTGGATGCCTCCTTATCACAGGCGACCCAGGACCTCTCGGAATGATGCTGTCAGCGGCGAGACACGGCCCTCAATGGTGTAAAGACCGGAGACTTCATCTACCAGCTCGTCCTGGCCGATTATCACCTCACTGCTACCAAGGACGAGCAGAGCCGCGAAAACAATACAGCTAACCCACATTTTCAGTCAATTAAGATTTTTTCATGAAAATCATCCAATTAGAGGTGGAATATCATCGATGTCAGCAGTTATATTATCGATGTTTCAACGAACGCGATATATCGATAATTACAATACCATACGATACTATTGCAAATGCAATCACATGTCAATATTTTGCCCCCAAGTGTGACCGTTTTGTAACGCGGTTGACATGCGAGCCAACATGACTTAAATTAAAATATGTCTTTTGGCACATAAAAACCAATTTTTCTTTAACTTGCTTATGTTACCATTATAATGAACAAATAAGATATTCATGGCTGTGGCTTGGAAAGATCTGCCCCCTTCCTTTTTATATTTGCTTACCTCGAGAAAAGCCAATAACATAATTTACATACCTATTCTCTGAGATTAAGAAAAAACAGATCTTTATTGAACACCTACAATATATTCAATATTACCGATGCACTTCTCAATAACCTTAAAGCTCGCTCTCAATGGACTGAACTATCGATATTTGGCCGAGACACCTGTATTAGTGTGTTTCTCGACTGTATTTCGCGCTCTCCGACAACTTACTGGCTCAGTCGTTGGCGGCAATTTGTGCGGTTCGGTTTGGTTAACTTGTAGCTCCATCGGTGCCGGAGTCCATTGAACAAAACGTACACAAAAAAAAGCTAACGCGGTGATTTTCGAACATTGTTGACCGCGATTTTAGGTTAGTGCGTGTGCCTTGACAAACGGGTTTCCAGTCTTGAGCCTGAGTTATTCGCAATGAATGGGTTCTACCTATGCGCAGGTGTGCCAGTGCCACTCGACAAGTGCCACATGCCGTCTGCAATAATATGCAATTGGAGGGCAGCAGGCCGTCGAAAGTGAACTTAAGATCCGGCCTGATCTGGTGTCAATGGGAGATGGTGATAAACTTGAAACAGATTCCCTAATCAGTTCATAAAAATTCCAAAGTTAATGCTTTTGAGCCGTGGCTTTGTTGTTTCTTTCCACTTCAGCTATGTCGCATGTACAGTGAAACCGGTTTCAGTTCGGAATTTATGATGCTGAGATCACAGGCCCCTCTTTCCCATTCCCCTTTCGGCGATTGCATAGATTTATTTTGTTTTTTCGCACACACATTTCAATGGCAAGACGCAATGCAAGTCTTCTAGCACAATGGAGTGTATATATCATTAATTAAGCAAGTTTGTAGTGAGCAGTGAGTGATGTCAAGCGTCGTGTTGCGCCTGCGCGAAGATGGTGATGTAAACAAGGCACGCACGATGGACATTCGGTGTTATCTCGAACGTGCCTTGGTCCCTATTCGGGATTGAGCACAGAGACACCACACCACTCGCGGCCATGTGTCCAGTGCCTTACGCAACTGCAACTGCATTTGCTGATAAATCAACTGTGACAGAGCCACTTTCTACGCTGGTACCTGTAGTCATAATTAGCGACAGCTCCACATTGTTACAGTTTCTGTTTTTATATTTTGCCGTCTGGAGTGCTCTCTGGTCATTTCCAGATGATCTGCGTTACGTTCCGTGATGTCATCTAATGGCGATTTTATGTGCATATTCGAATCAATAAACGAGTCGTTAAGCAAGTCGCTTTTCTCACCACATTTTCCAAAGCTTTATAGCGCCAACACACCTGCTCGTATCTCAGACAATTAATTCTTACTTAGCTGACGACGACAGTGAACTTATTTAAAAGGAATTTAAGCATAGCAATCAATAAATGCCAAAATACATGGAGTGGATTCAATGTTGTGACCTCTATTTCATTGTTGAACTACATTTCAAGATCTTATACATTACAAAATTTAGACATTCCTCTAACTAATTTTCCATTATACTTAAAATACTTCTTTAATATATGGTATATGGTATCAACTAGTAGCCGCAAGTTAATGGATGGGCAGGGGACCGGAAAAGCAATTGTCTGTCATGTTTTTCCACCTATAGACTAAGCATTAATTTAGGACCCCTTCTGACACATGCCAGTCCAGTTGATTGAGCAAATGTTGATCAATCTTTTTTCGTATGCAAAGAACCCAAGCGAAGTCCTGCCACAAACTATAAAGAACCCACCCTTTGGTTAATTCACTACTTATTCGGTTGAAGGGAGGGTCATCGAGCTGCTTGGATACCTGGAAAAAGGGAGGCACAACAGGCACCATGGCGGAGTGCTAACCCAGTTTACACAAGTGCTGGCACGCGATGTCCGGCCAAGATTGGTTGCAATGGCCAATTGCCATGGCAAAGGAACTATGCTGACCACCTTGACCGGATCCCCACCACCATTCCCCCATTTGGGGTCAAAAGCCAATAGCTGGGTTGGCGTGTGCTTCAAATTACCCAGAATTACCCAGACGACGACTCACGCTTAACGTCTGATAAGGGGGGTAAAAATACACGGAGATATAGGCTTGCTTTCTGTCAGTGATTGGGTGATAAAAACTAGGACTAACCAAAGTCAAGACCAATCTTATCAATTTACATTACGATTGCCAATTATGAGCATAAACCGCTAGCCACTTGAGAGAGAACCGCCTTACGCAAGCCGTGAAGTGGATGATTTGGCAGTAAGCAATCGGAGTCGTTTACCTTTGGCTGCGATCTACATACCTTTCGAATATGGCCAACTCCGGCCGTAGCCAAACCCAGGCTTAAACGTTGATCGAGCAATTAGAGTTGGGCTGTCAAATATGTTCGAGTGGATATATTCCGTGTGTGGACTGAGAGACACACACCGACACCGACAGCATTCAAATCGCGATTATTCGCTGCTGTACGGGTTTCAAAACTGGCTTTTTAACAAGGGCATGACCAGGTCTATGTGTGCATATATGCATTATATATAAATATGTATATACAACACTATATAGCCCACACAATGAACATGTTAGAGTCAAGTGCTCGGGCTCGGGCCCACATAATGGCTCATTGTTGTTGTGGAAAAGTCGCTAATCAGTTTTGTCTCACGTTCAAAAACAAAAGCCACAAGTCCATGGAGTAGCTCCTCCATGGGGGCCAACGGCTATATGGCTGCGAAACACTTATTAATGTGCCAAGAATTTAATGGAAAGCATTTATCGTTTTTGTTGCTGTGCGACCGCGGCAGTCGGTGAAATTTTCGGTCTTTCGGTTTTCACTTTACCTTCTAGGGAACGAGCTACTGCCACAGAGGTACATGTGTATGCACCTACCGATAGATAGATAGCTCCTCCGCGAAGGTCTAGGTAAATGTGAATGCTCTTTAGATAAATCACTAGCAATCAATATAACTCTGACTTCCAAGGTCTTGCCCATTGTGCGGTTCTTATGTATCAAACTCTTTATTAAGATGCCAAATTTTGAGTCCCAAACAATGAGTGTATTGAGCTTAAGTTCAACCTGGGCTTTAATTAGCATTTGGCTGGCATTTCAAAGAAAGGCAAATGAATATAAAAAAACACACATATATGGCGCAGATACAAAACAGCCCAAGGTTAATCGTAAACGCTTTCAAATTCAAGTTCAATTCACATTCTCGGCACGGAGCGGGCAGTTCAGAGGAACCCAGACTCGCGAAGTGGCGGCTCCTCGATGAATCACCTTCATCTGTATTCCACGACAGCACATGGGAAAATACCAGATACGCAGCTACCCAGCATAATATATGTGTTGTGCCCACTCACTTCCTCATCGATCCGAAGCCGAGATCTTGGGGACGAAAGCAAAAGTCATGTTCTGCCTCAGACACGAGGGAACTGACCTCGTTAATGTGGCGATCACCCGCGAATATCGACATCAGCAATTCGGGGGCGAGTGGAACATACATACATATTCAAAAAGTGGTGGCCCCCGTAAAAAAACTCCCTTGACAGGCGGCGAGCGATTTGCCTACACCCCAGTAAACGCTTATTTATTGCCCCACCAGCTTAGCGGCTAATTAGTTAACCGCCAAACCATTAACTCGATTTATTATTCTAATAATTGTACTATATGTGCGCTTATTACAAACATTACGCATACGCAGTGGTGCCTGACGACCAGGAGCAGCGAGGTGATAAGCCCGGAGTGGCCAGCGCTTGAAAGCTAAACGGTGTTAAGCGTTACATCCGCCGCCCCTCTAAATATAGCCCTATCGCTGGAACACAATCTCGGCCGATATCGGATGGCATCAGCAGCAGCATTCGTAATTAATTGAGTGCAGCTTGATTTAGGGCGAACAGCAAAGTAAATGGAGTGTTTTATTCACTTTTCTGGTTATCAAGCAGATACTGATGATGGGAATCTTGTTTCAGGAAATGTATATATTTAGAGGATCTCAAGTCAAGGTTTTTTATTAAGGTTTGCCATAAAAATCATTAGTTAATAGAAAATAATAATAATTTAGCGATTTAACTGCAGAAATGGGAGGTATTCAAAACATTTTCAGGAAGTACAACTTCAGCATTGTATCTCTGATTAAACAATAAACAAAAGGCAATTAGCATTAAGTAATTTATTCCTATAGGAATTAGGAATTTGAAATTAAATAAGTATTAAGATAGAAACACTATGATATACTTTAAAGACCCCTTTCCCCCAACTTTGACTCCCCGTCATGGTTCCACACCAAAAGAGTCTACCATATATTTAGAAGCCTTCTGTCAATAGTTTGATTGCTATCGAGTATGTAGATATATAGTCCAGATACACACACTCCTCGCTCCTTCATTGTCTAGTTGGGTTCGCTGGAAACGTGCCCCGATAACCGGGTGGCAATTATTTATGCCATGGTAATTAAACAGACGAGAGACGACAGAAGATGGAAATGACGAATGTCTGACGATGGTTACAGATTGTTTATATTGGAGTAGGGAACAGGGGAGAGTCGGCGGCACTTTGGGGGCAACGGAAGCCGGGACACGGTTCGCTTCTGATCACTCCATTCCGATTCGATTCCAACTCAGAGTTTCGCATTGTCTCTGCTCCATCCACGACAGGTGCTATATGACGATGACGCTGCCGCTGACGAAGCGCGGCTGGTTGGCGCTGGCGACGGCGCTGCTGGCGGTGGCCACCTGGCCGGATCCGGGCCAGAGTCTCCCGCAAGGTGCTCCGGAAACCGTGTGTGACACCATGCTACCGTTCCACTCCGGCGGCAGTGTGCTGCCCCAGAGCAGCGTGTCGCCCTTCAGTGTGGAGACCTCCTCCACGACTGTCGGCCAAGGACAGACGATTCGTGTGGATCTCACGGGCGTGCCGGCGGGTCTGAGCTTTGGTGGCTACATGATCCAGGCGCGCAACCGGAATCCACCCTACCAGATAGTAGGACAGTTCGGGACTGCCCGTGATGGAACTATCAAGCTAATGAACTGCGAGAATTCGGTAAACAACTCGGCAACGCACAGCAATGCCGGACCCAAGCGACAGGTGCTTCTCGAGTGGCAGTCCCCGGTGGACTTCCTCGGCCAGGTGGTCTTCAAGTAAGTCATATTACCCTTAGGTTAATGCTAAGATAACTAATATATCCTCCACAGTGCCACGATTGCTCAATCCTACAACGAATTCTGGGTGGGTGTTCCCTCCCAGCCCGTCCAGATAGTCCGGCGTGATTTGACGGCTGTTCCACTGCCAACCCAAGGGCCTCCGGTCTCAGCGGGAACAACCCGTGCTCCCTATGTCCCACCAAGCTATGTGGCGCCAAACAATGTGGCTGCCACCAACTCTGATCCCATTTACAATGGATGCGGCCAGAGCAAGAACTGCTTCGGCTTTCCTGACGGCTGTGTGTCATCCAAGACCTGTACCTCTATCGCGGTGGTGACGGTGCGTGGCGATGTCTATGAGTTCGAGATCCAATCTGGCAGAGGTGAGTCAGTCATGAGTTAGACGGAGGAGAGAAGAGCAAGATTCCAATTTCATTCGATTTCAGGCACCAACGCTGCCTATGTGGCTGTCGGTCTATCCGAGGATGCCAAAATGGGTGAAGATCTGACCACCGAGTGTGTGCCAGAGAACGGTAGGGTGAACCTATACTCGTCATATACCTCGGCCACTCCCTATGCGGCTATGCGATCCGTTGTGGTAAGTTCTCAAGCGGCTGGAGCTCTCCACCAATGGAGGGTCGGGTTCCACACTCCATTAAAAGATAATAATATTCCCAAATGGCTAATTAAATTTTGTAAATTACTAAAATATTAAGTTGCTAATTGCATTTAATTCATTAACATTTTCAGGGTCAGAACTCGGCTCGCCTGCTGGATGCCTCCCTCGTGGACGGCGTCATCTACTGCCGGGTGCAACGGGATGCGGTGACCAGTGTCCAGGGAAAAACCTTCGATCTGCGCAATGGCAAGTACCACCTGCTGGTGGCCTCTGGCAGCAGCCTGAAGGAGAACAGCGTGGGCTACCACGACATCGGACGCTTGCCATCGGGTAAGGCCATTAATCTGGCGGAGGTGCAGGACCTGAGTGGATCCAGTAAGCTGCTGGTGCAGCTCCATGGTGCTTTCATGATCGCCGCCTGGATCGGAACCACCTCGCTGGGCATCATCTTTGCGCGTTACTTCAAGCAGACGTGGGTGGGCAGCCAGAGCTGCGGCAAGGACCAATGGTTCGCCTGGCATCGTCTCCTCATGGTCACCACCTGGTCGCTCACGATAGCCGCCTATGTGCTCATCTGGGTGGAGCTGAAGAGGGCCGTGTGGCATGCCCACTCGATCATCGGCCTGATTACGGTGATTCTCTGCTTCCTCCAGCCGATCGGAGCGCTGTTCCGTCCGGGACCCAATGACAAGAAGCGACCATACTTCAACTGGGGCCATTGGCTGGGCGGTAACCTAGCCCACATTCTAGGAAGTAGGTTTTATTTCTGATTAGTTTGAGTTGGAGCTTTATGTTGACACAAAACCTCTTTTTTTTGGCAGTTGTGACCATCTTCTTCTCTGTGAAACTGCCCAAGGCCGAGTTGCCTGAGTGGATGGACTGGATTCTGGTCAGCTTCGTGGTTGTGCATGTCCTCGTTCACCTGATATTCTCCGTAAGTGTATCCCTTCCAGGTGCTTGGTACCCCTTTTCCTCATGTGACCCCAAAGTGTACAAAGAGTAGACCCTGCATCGCCTGCCTGTACAGTGGTTCTAGTTGTGTGTCCCTAAAAGTACATTCATTCGATACTAATTCATCTGTCATCTATCATTCCCTCGAGAACTGGTGGCTACGTCCATTAACGTGTAGATCGGCTTGTGTTTAAATCATTGGCAGGTTGCGGGAATGGCCTCCGAGAGACACCAGAGTCAGCGGGCGAACAACTTCCAAATGGGTGATCTCTCCCACCACCATCAGCATGCCATGCGGAATGGCATGAGCATGGAAAGAAAAATGGATGCACCGGTAAGTAAATCTTTACTTAATATCAATCGAGTGTATATATTTTTTGTATATTTTATAAAGGTGTTATTTTTCAAACCATTATAAAACGTAAATTGATTTATTAACGATTGGAAATTTACAAAAACTTGTTTTTTTAAACACATTTCTGAAATATCCAGAAAACACCTTTGGGAATATCAAAAAAAAAACTTAGTAAACGAATATACTTCATCGCATTTTTTTCGTTTTTCGTTACATTATCGTTATAATCCGGGTATTCCCCTCTTTTTTCAGTACGCGGGCATGCGCAAGGGATTGCTTGGAGTGTATGCCGTGGTGCTCGTCCTGTTCGTTGTGGTGCTGATCCTGCTCGTGGTGCTGGCGCCCATTGAACAATTTCTGGGCAAGTCCTAGACACTGAATCTGGATGCAGATGGTGGCACCGTGTGTACCCTGTCGTCCCTCTCCCTCCACCTCCTTCCAATACTCGTTTCTTTTCTGTGTGCTCCTTGTTTTTAATCCCTTCCGCCCGCGGCTCTGCCCTGCCACGCCCCATTCCCCCTATTTCTCCCCTCCAGCGTTGTGTTGTTATGTGTAATTAGGCGCAAGTGTAACTTGGGGCGGAGCGTTCAGTACATGTTATATAATTTATTATTAATAAAGTAAAACAAGCCAACATAAATGCATTAATTTTGTTTTTCTCTTATTCGCTGCCATTTTATGCCACTCCCCTTTTACTGCTGCTGCCTTGTATGCATATTATGTGGGGGATCGGTGACGGGACGTGCTGCTCGATCGGATTACGCTGGATCTCCTATGATTAATATGTAGCTTGTTGTATAAAACATTTACGTCTAACTGCCGCTAATCAATATCAGTAATCTTTATCGTTATAGATATAGGTAAATGTGTTGTTGGGGTATGTTGGTGTTTGTGTGTGAATGCTTTCTATATAGACTCGTTGCCAGATCCGCGCAATAAGAGTACGTAATAAATGATAGATAACTCTACAGTTTTAAAATATTAATAATGCGAGAACTAAACCCAATCAAAACGAAATTGCCTTAACATAATGAGCGGAATCATCGCTCCTCCAGAATAACCGTTTCCTGCGGATACAGCTTGAGCGTCTCCAGCGTTTGGCTGCTCTCGATCGCGGTGAGATCCCTTCGCGGCCAGCTGCTAATTAGTTTGTACTCTTCGATGAGGAATCCGTGGGCGGTTACAAAGTTAAGAAGATCCTAAAAAAACATACTCCACTTAGTGGCAATCTTGGACACTAAGCGCCTCTGTCACCTACCTGCAGGTTGTTGCTGGTGTAGAAGCGACGCTCCAGGAAATCGCCGGTGGGCTTACGTACGCGAATTTTGGAAATGCCCGCCTCCAGCTCGGACGGCTCCTGAGGTAGCGATTGTTGAGCCTGCGGGCAAACGTATTCTTTGAAACAGTTCTTCTATTTATGTGGGCTATTAACTTACAACTAATCTTATGGACTCCCGTCTAGCATCTTCCTCGGCTCGTTCGGACTCCAGGCGCTTGCGCTCTGCCAATTGCGCAGCTTCTTTTTGACGTTTTGCAGCATCCTTGGCCATGTCGGCTTGCAGAGTTGCTTCGTAGGCCATGTCCTGCTCCGCCTTCACCTGATCGCGAGCGGCGCGCTCGTCTTCCTGTCGGATCTCAACTTGCAACTGTTCCTCGAACATTTCACAGGTTTCAATGAGCCTCGTTAGCAAGTCATCCAGTCCAATGTTACCTGAAAACAGAATGTAATGTTATTCAATTCCGTCTTCAATGGCTCGGCAAGACGTACCCTGAATCACAGATAAAACCTCGCAGTTACTGCCCAACTGACGGCTCTTGCCCACCAGCATGATGGCAGGCAGTTTGTCCAGCTTGATGTTCCTGGCTGTAAGCGAGGCATTGCTGCTGATGCAAGCTGTCAGCGAGGAAAGAAACCTACAAGCCACATTTCGGAAATCATTAATAAATGAAAAAGATAATTCTTAATCGTGGCTCACATATCCTTGTTGCTCTCGTAGGTCAAGTCCCAGCCAAATAGGACGAACTTCTCCTTGAAGGTCTGGATAATGCTCTCATGCTTCATCAGTTGATCACAGAAAACGTTGGTGAGAATGCTTTTGCCGTGGTGTAAGTAAATAGCAAGAAGTTTACGCTGAAAAATTAAAGATAACCCCACGTCAGCACATATAGCAGCATTGGTAAATAATAGCCACAATTACCTCCTTGGCGGACTTGAGGCAGGCCAGCTGCTTGGCGCTTTCCAAACTACCCACAAAGAACTCTGGACACGGCTCTCCGTATAGCGATTTGTAGTTTTCGACGAACTGTGTGGACCCACTTGTCTCGTCGTCTGTGTTGTTTGGTACTAAAAAAAAAGTGACTTTTTAAAAACCTGCAGGGTCAAGTTACTTTCAATCTTAACTCACTTAAGTGTCTGTTGAGCGGCTGTGTAGGTGGTGAGTCGGTGAATGTGTACTCGGCGTTGTTGAAGTCCGTGGCATCTTCAAACTCATCCGCCGAACTCTCACTGTCCACGTTGACCAACTCAAACGTGTTGTTGTGCTGGTTGGAAGTTGAGTTCTGGGCCGCACCCGCTGCAGTCCTCACGGTGAATCTGTGGGACAGCTCAATACCGGATTGCTGAAACGAATTCATACTATTACTTAAAGATTGATCGGATTGATTGGTCGACCTACAGCCAATGTGGTTTCGTTGTCACAATCGCTGGGCCAGCCGGTCCACTCCTGGTGGCGTACTGGTATGCTTTTAATGTCGAACACATTCATCTTGAGCGCCTGCATCGTCGTGCGTCCAGGCAGGCTCAATGTTAGCGACTCCGACTCGAATTGAATGTGAATGGTAAATATCTTGTCCGACCGTTGCGTCACCTCGTCCCTAAAAGAGTTATTCGAGTTATATTTCTTTTCTAAGAGGGGACTTCGGGGAGATCACTCACTGTTCGGTGTCCATGAAACCGTCGTCGGTGAGGTCCACCAGAATCAGTTCGTTTTCGGGCGCGAGGTCCAGGTTACCGATGCGTGCTTCTGGCTGTTGGGCCTCGCTGGCCTTGGACGGCGGCCAGCCGCGAATGGCCTGCCGGCACACAGGGACACTGGTCACGTCAAAGATTTTGCGCTTCAGTTGCTCTGAAAATTTAAGCATGATAAGTTGGCCATTCTCGATGGCTTTATTTAAAAAGCCTTACCAACTGTGGCCTCCGAGGGCAAGCGGATGCGGTAGAGCTGCTGGTTGAAGTGGATGTTGAATGCAATCACATTCTGGTTGTTGTTGTGGCTGGACACAGGGTCCAGGTTGATGCTCGACGTGAGCTGGGCTAGCAATTGTGACGCTATAGTAGATACGTTTCAAGTCAAGGCACGAAAGCGGCGCAATCACGTTAACTCACTGGGAAATCTCTGCTGCTGCTGCTGCTGGTGGTGGTGCGCCTGTTGCATGGTTAGGTTCTGATTCCGGTTCTCCAGGGCTGCAAAGAATCCCGCGTTGGACGGCCCGGGCAGCTCTTCGTAGCCAGGCGGAAGGAAGCCGTTGGTGCTCTCCATGGCCAAGCTGCTCCTGGCTGGCGGCTCCGGCTGCTGGATGGATCCGGCCAGCGGCGCATCATCGTGTGGCATCACCCGACTCAGGGCATCCTGCGAAGGGGCAAAGGAAGACGCAATTAGCCATTGTGACCACGCATGTGTGGATATGATCGAACAAAGGAACACTGCACACTCACCATCAGATTCCAGTTGACGGCCTCCAGGTGGGAGAAGGCCTCACCCACGTCGTCGATGCCCGTGATGTTCTGCGAAGTGCACCAAATCAGATGGTGGTCAATATGTTTAGTTCGATATCGGAGTTTTCCCTCAAAGTCACCCACACAGCCAGCACGCACATCGCAACGCAGCGCAATGTGCGCAGCGAAATTGAGAGACTTATGCTCGCTGGCAACTGAAAGGCCTTACCTGGAAGCTCGCCAGGGTCTCTTCCTTGTTCTCCGACATTGGAAACGCTTTTAAGTCTCTGATTTAAGCCGTTTGAATGTACTTTAACTGTGCGGATTTTCACTACAAAAAATTACACAAAGAAAATTTATCAAATAGAGGTGACAGTTAGAGCAGCAAGTCATCGATGGTAGTATCGATTGCATAAATGTTATCGTATGGGGAAACAAATATATTTGACGTTTTTATACTCAGTGAATTTTTAATCCGAAATATAAATAATAATGACAACAGAAAAATATTAGATTTTTGTTCTAAGTTTTATAATTTCTCATACGAGAACACCCTCAATATTTGAATATTAAATTTAAATTAATAACATTAAATGTAGCTTATTTTAAAAACAACTTTTAAGACTCTGCCCAAGTCCACTTGAACGAATATATTGTTTTGTGCTTCGGGGCAAGTACAAGAACAACTTAATAAATAATAATTTAGATAACAAATAATTAAAAAAAAAGAGTATTAGAATATCAGAGTTCTTAATGTATGGAAAATTCTAGTCAAGCAAGGACAACATAATATCGATAGTTTTTCCTCTACATGTGAAGTAACTTGTAGAATGCAGGTAAAATTACAAATAATTCACAGTTCTACATGTAAGTTATTTGAATGTAAACATTCCGTTACATCTGCAGGCAATAAAAACCTTTATTTTTATTTATCCTTATCTAAAGGGGACATTTTCAAATCCTATAGATTAATATGTATTTTTTGTTTAGTAGCCTTAGCCAATCGAGTTTATCCTTAGGCTACCAAATAATATAAAGTATATTTATAATTTATAAATTAATTTCATATCCCTGGCGATTCTGGTACTCATAAATATATTATTTTCAACGCTATCCATACCAGAGCCAACTTCCTTTCAAAACTGAAAGCGAATCCTTCAATCTGCGTAATGTATTCAAGTTGTAAATTGTGATTAATATGAGAAACTTTATACCTCGCACCCCCCGGGGACGAATAAGAGAGCCGGCTGCCGACTGGCTCGCCCCCGCACTGGGCGGCCGGAACAAATGCGTCTCGATTAATCTTCATGAAGTGGCGAAATCAAAGACCCGTCCGATGTGACTTCGATGTGGCCGGGATGTAACCAAAGCATAGAAGCCTCCGGGCTGGGAAGCCGACAACATGTTGCTCGTGGACCTGAAACTCTTTGGCCTAATACTAGCCGTTAGCGGATGCTGCTGCCTGATCCCGATTCTCGGGGACACTGACCAGGAGCTACCGCATCGCATCTACCGCCTCCTGGACGGACTCTCCTGCGGACACGCGCTGAGTGCCAGCTCTACGTTTGCCCTGCTGCTCTCGCAGTTCCTGATAAAACGTGAGCCTAATGAACCGTGCACTCGCGATACGGATGACGGATGTGCCTGTTTATTTATGCCCTGTCCATGTCGATTCCAGAGAAGCTGCGCTACGTGGCACCCACGCGTTATGAACGCCAGCTCTACTACCATCTGCTGCACAGGATGGAGGACATCCGGGAACGATCGGGTGGTGTGGTCCAGGAGCAGGGTATCCAAGGGGAAAGTAAGGGAATTCCGCTGTACCTGCAATTAATTTAAATGTGCACTCACATTCATTTTTGTGCAGTCCTCAGCATTGCCTTCCAAGGGAATGTCCTGCTGCTGCCTCCCTCTCTGAAATTGGGGGAGTTGGATGCCAACGGGGAGTATGAGCAGCTGGCAGAGATCTATTCGAAGGTAGTGAACGAAGGACAGCTTAACAGGACGTTGTCGGGTGAGGTCCTCAAGGGAAAAATATATATAATATAAATTATTACGCTATAATGCAGATATTTGCCTAAGGGACATTGTAAACCTAAAGCCGCCGAACTGCAAACTGCTCTCTGGCAAGTGTCTTGAGCTGCTAACTAGCGATGCTCCTGCCTACGGATACCAGAGGACTCACCAGTAAGTACTACTACTAGTAATCTTGAACGAACCCAATCCTTTATCCAAAAGCTCGCAGAGTCCTGCTACTGTACGTGCTGCAGCATCAGGCATGTGCCCCACACCAGAGCCCCCCAAAGGTGTACGAGCTGCTGGCGAGGATTCAGTGCGATGAGGTTGAGCGTGAACAGAACGCCATCCGGAGCCTGGGGCTGCCTTCGGCTTATCGCGATCTGTATCTGGAGCAAGGTGAGTCAGACACTTATCCTTGCTTATATCGCTGACACATATCTCTGTCTACCTGCCTGCCTGCCCGCCGCCACAGCCACCATCTGCGGGCTATTTGGCTACAATGAGTTTGTAAACTGGCGCAACGTAATGGAAATTGGCAGCTGGCTGGTTGGGGGGAGGACCCGCCGAAGGATAACTTGGCCGATGACAGCGATAGTCAGCACATAAGCGATCTGGCCTTGGTTTTCTATACGAATGCCCTGCTGCTGCTGCACTAATCCGCCTCTTGCTCCCCCTAGTTCCCCAATAATATAATAAATCCCCCGTCGCCATGATTTTCGCTTCTGCTTGATAAGTTAATAAAGTACCGCTTATTGCTTCTACGGTTGTGTCGATTCCAGCTAGTTGAGTGGTTAATACTTTTGTTTTTCAAATGCAACGCGGCAAACGGGTCGATGGGATGGGAAACAACATTTGTAATGTGACACATTACTTGCGCTTGGCTGCTCCTCTGATGGATATGCAGCGGAACGACAACTACGACGACGACAACAACACTTTCCATTACAAAATGCTCACACTGAAGTGGAATACTAATATTTGCCCTGACATACTCGAAAACATGGCTTTGGAAGCCATCCGGGGTGCAGGCAGCGAAGCCCGAGGGCCTGCGAAAGGGAAGAGGTCCTGCTTCTGGGCTTGGTGGGTCTCCAGCTGGATATTAATGCCTCATTTGCTGCAACTCTAAAGGGGTGGCTCATCGTCAAGGAGTGGGGGAATGCACCCACTAAGCCGTCAACAAAGGACAAACACTGAGCCAAAACATGGGGTACTTTTCATTAAGATTACTATTAATTAAGTCTATAATCAAAATAGTAGTTTTTAAATAATTTTTGGTAGAAAAAATTATTACGAATTGGTGCGTTATATCTTCTTCGGGATATTCTTCAGGCTAAAAAATCCATTCGCGACCGAAATTTCACGAGTTTAAGGGTACAAAGACAAAACGTACTTATCATCAAAAAGCCTTGAAAAGGAAGCACTAAAGATTGCAAAAACATTACACAGCATTACAGTCGGAGTCCTTCCTTGCCTTAATTAATAATATCATCTCTATCAGTTTCTTGCCCTGCCTAGTTTTTAAAAAATTATGAAAGCTCCTTAGGTTCACTCTGAATTTCAAATTTAACAAAGAATAGACACTTTTACAGTACCCAATCCTCTATACACTTTTTCTCTCAGTGTTGACATACACGAATAAAGCAGCATACTGTATGTCGTTGCCTTTTGTCGGGGGTCATGAATAGCGCCGGGTCATTAGTAACGTTGACTTGTCAATGCAGCAACAACGCCGACGACGACAACAACAATAGCAACAGCAACAAGAAATGCCGCAGACTTGCCAAGTCTCGGTTACCATCGTAGGAGGAGGCAAAGGTCCTGCCCTGGACATTCCTGCTTCTGTTGCCTATATGTGTGTGTGTAGATTTCTGTTTTTTATCCATTCCTTTTGGTAGGCAAACACAACAACCCTTCAGCAACCCTTGCAACCCGATCAGCTGACTTACTGGCCACTGCACACAAACACAGAGTGTACCCTTGCCCGCCCCATTGCCCAGTCCCCCGTCCAAGGCGTCTCGTGTTGTTTTTGTCCACGCGTGTCGTCGAGTTCATTATGGGCTTATGTCCCTTAAAGTGTCGGTGGCTCTCCGTAGGTGTTTATTGTGCTGTTAACTGTTAGCTCGCTGGCAGCGAAACACTGTTGTTTAACATTCGCTCTCCGCCTCTCTCATAGTCCTGGCATAGTCCTTTAACAGTGCGAGCCCGAAATGTTTGAACGCTCTTTCTCTTGAGGGCGCATGCGTGCGTGGGAGAGAGTAAAGCAGCTGGGAGAGAGAGAGGTGAGAGACAGGGAGAGAGCAGGTGGAGTTGGGTGAAAGTTTAGGGTTGCCAAGGGTTTGGCGTTTACTAATTAACAATTTAGCTTATTTATATTTTTGACTAAAAATATAAAGGATAAGAAAAATACACAAACTGGAAATTGTGTGAAATATTCGTAATTGGAGCAAGTAACGTACTAAATTCAGTTCATAATTTAAACCTAAAATCACCATAAATCTGTATACAACGGTTTGTGTTATTTGAATTGAAATTATAATTTTAAAAATAAAATATAATCAATTAGCTTTGACATCCTGGCAACCCTATTAGCTGAGCTAACTGTGCGAATTGAATTGGCGCCTCTTTTCATGGCCGGATAATCGTCCGAACGGATATTACAATAACAGCCCAGCACAAGGACCAAGGACTCTCTGGCTCCGGTTGCTCCTGCTCTCTCCGTGTGCTTGTGTTTTCCCTCCGGCTATGTTTCTCCAGACTGTCTCTCACTTGCTTTCGCCATTGCTCTCTGTGGCCCTGCCAAGTGGCATTTCCATTACGTTGTCGATACTCATACGCTCAGTAGTCTCCCGTCAATTAGAGTGTAAAAACGTTACGCTCCCCGAAAAACAAACGGAAACGCTCGAACGCCAGAAATCATCCGTATCCGTCGTCATCAGACATCCGCTCGCAGGATACAACCAAAATAACGTACATATATATATACATATATATACACACAGCCGCAGCCATAGCCACAGCCGCACAACGATGCTCGACAACGAATCCGAGATATAGCCATATCAGAGCAGGGAACTAGCCAAACGTGGAAATCCAGCGTAATTGCATCTTCTACATATATGGCGGCGCGACTGCTCGCTGCGATTGAAAATTCCCGTGCAAGTGCAATGTGAAAGTCAGCTTATACGACAGCTGAATGTGTCCCAGTGAGTGAGAGTGTGCGAGTGTGCGGGAGTGTGTAAATGTAAATACCACGAAAATCGCTGAAAGCCGAAAAATAAAGCACAAGGCGGAGGAGTAGCAGCAGCGAAAGCAGAAGCAGAAATCAGCAAAGACCACGCAGAGTAACGGTACTTGGCCAGAGGCAGTCAAAAGAAGAAGAAAAGCAGCAACAGCAACAGAAACCGTAAGGATTTGTACTTGTATTCTCTGTGTGCGCGTGCCAGTGTGTTTCTGTGTTTGTGTGTAGTTTACGGAGACGAAAAAATGCGAAATGAAATAATGGAAATTTATGTGGCCAGTAAGGCAGTAAGAAGAGGAAAAGCGCACTTCAAGTGGCCAACCCACTGCTCTTCCTTACACACACACACATACACCCAGGAGTACGCGTATCCCTCACCCATACACATGTCCTGTAACATACACACATCCGCCACTTTTATTTATTGTGATTTTTGGGTCAAACTAAAGTTGCAACGATGATGTTGATAATTACCAGTTCGTTCACATTGCCACCACCAACAAACCAGTTCAAAAGTCCTTTCGGGCGTTCGGGAGTTCCCCTTTTCGCTGCACTGCCAGGATTCCTCACTGGCCACCCAGCACACGCACACAGGCAGCCAAAAAGCAACCCACACACAGACGTCACGTTCTGCTGCTCCCCTCGAGCTGTGTGTGTATGTGTGGTGTGCTTGTGTGGGTTCTGCTTTTGTTTTAGTCCTGAGGTCCTTGCTGGGAAATTACTTTGTTGTTGGCTCCCTCCGCTGGCATCGCTGTAGTTGTTGCTGTTGTTGTGGCAAGGAACGCGGTCTTTGACAGCTTTCAAGTAAAGCGCGCGCACCTGCGAATTCGCCATAAATTAGGCCCGTGTCCCGCATATAGGAGGATATATATATATATATATATATATATATATACATATATTTAGTGCGACGTCTTGGCACTCAAAGCCCAGGCAGGATAAGCCGCAAAAAATAAACGCGCCAAACCTCAAGGCTGCCACAGTATGGCCTATAAGGAACTAATTACCCAAAGAACTATGAGAATAATGTCTTTTTCCCAATTTCTAATCGGATTCCTTGCGTATAACATATTAAAATCGATAAAAAATCAAACCAATCCATGGGTTTTTGTATGCTAAAATCGAATATAGTAATTTTATTACTCAAATTCCATTAGAAAATCAATTAAATTGCTATCAATTCTTATTTTTATCAGATTTGGCATGAGGAGTAGGAACAATAATTAGCTTAATTTAAGTTTTATGGCCATTTCATTTAGAATGGCTATCGGTTTAAAATATCCTCCGTTGACATGCCAGAAAGTATGCTATGAAAACCGTTGCGTTTGGTTTACAGCGACAACTCCCTGCAAATTGGATTATAAATGTATTCACTGATGGCCACTGCACAAATTATTTTAATTGCCTTCTGTACACTATTCACTAATTGCTCAAAAAGAAAAAAAAAGATGAACAAAAAGAAGAAAACTCTTCCCTTGCTCTAAATATAGCATCAGCAACCTTGACTGAAACGCTATAGTTATTATGGTTCACTCAATTAAATCAAACATGAAACAGCCTTGAAGGAAAGGTCATATATTTATCAGATTTCGTGCTTGAATGCAGCTACAAAGTAAATTAGTTTTCCCTCGCACCCTCGTAAGTTCCTTGCAAAATCTAAGGCTTCCGAAGGAGCCACTTTAATGGGGATAAATGGTGGAAAGTAAGGTGGGGTAGATTAGCCCAATTAACGGGGCTCCACTGTGGTCGCCGACGCTCGGTTGTCTCCCGCCTGTCACTTTGGCCATTTTCTCGGGGAGTCAGAAGTCTGGCATGCGTGAATCGAGTTGATTCGAAGGGGACCGCCGCCCGCCCCGGAAAAACCATCCCCAAGTGCCCAAGTGCGACCCCTCCACATTGTTTTTGTGTGTATTTTGTGGTTGCTGGCCACCCAATTGGCTCTCCACGGATTTTGTGCTCTATTTACCTGCCTTATAAAAACACAATTTATTGCTGCCCTAACGGTTTCCCTTTGTGTTACAGATTCACCATCATCATCAGCTTCTGTTCTGTTTTCAGTTTTCTGTCTCTGCTTTCCGTTTCTGTTTCATTTCTTCTGGCCGCTTTTAGTTTCGCTTTGTTTTGTTTCTTTCCAACTTAACTTTTCCGCTGCTTTCCCCGGGACTTCCCCCATTGGCCGGCCCTCCACTGTATAGAAAGTTTTTGCGTGACATCAGCCGCAGGAATAGCAGTCGTGGATATGGGATATAATTCTGCTTCTGGCTGCCATTTTGTTTGGCCTTGTTTGCCTTTCGCCTTTTGCTTTTGAATCAATAAACTAGCCACGGAATCGAGAGCAGTTCCTAAATAATTGAAAAGCAGCCGAGGTTTTTCCCTGAACCCTTGCCCCCACTTAGCCCCTCCATGTTGTAACTGAGAAGTTTAGCTCAAAAGCTGGCAACTCACTTCAGTTCAAGAGCGATTATCGGATAAAAGGACAAATAGATATATGCATGCAAATAATTCGGTTACCACTTATCCGCCTCACTTTCACTGAGACGCAGGACCGACCCCCTCGTCCAAGTAGTTTTTCGGGCATATCCCTCTATGGCACAAAAGTTTCCGGCTCTCCCCAGCAATTTGATCATTTGTTATGGTCAGAACTGTCGGGAACTCAGACATTCTGGCAAAAAATTCCACTCTGTGGTCACGTATCAAGTATCTATGCGGTGCGGGTAAAGTTTTGAGTTTACGATTTACGATGCATAAACTTTATCCCAGGGATTTCACTCAACTCAAATAAAAAGTCGCCGGGTAATAATCTGTGATAAATGAATATGGGCCCAGCGACAGGATATGGATTCAGTCAGCAAACTATCTGATATCCGGCATCAGACATCAGACATCAGACATCGCTGCCCAATGAGCTCTTAATTGTGTAATTAAATCACTGCCACTTGGAGCATTCATTTTTGTCCATTAGCCGGCTAATTAGGTTGATCAACTTTCCGCCCAAAATCCCAAAAAAAAATAAATCGAAAAGGCAGCAGAGGAGTCAAGTTTTGGGCCTTGGTGCCTAATAATTTCGAAACCGATGCGTTCTAATTAGTTTTCGAGAGGCCACAGCATTTTCCATCCAAATGAGCGTACGTTTTTGTGAGTCGCAGCAGGAGCAGCAGCTTACCTGAATAATGAGTTTTCCTCACATGCATTTCGAGTCAAAAGAGGGGAATCCCCCGAACATTCATCCGCACAAAGCAAACGTCCCACCGACAGGAGGGCGACAGGCTTCAGCCTTCTGCATAGCTGGCCATTCGGAGGCGTCGTACCGGAAAGAAATGCCATTAAAAACGCAATAAAAATGCAAAAAAAAAGAACAGAAACGAAAAATACAACAAAAAGGGGTTGGCTGGGGCTCGGGTTCCGGGGGCTGGAAGAAAAGCGAAATCCCGAATGAAAGAAATGCGAAAATATAACGTGCAGAGTGCGCAAATACAAACGGACAAAAGAAGTATGTGGCTAGTATGTCAACCGTTGCCCCAAGTCCCCCTTTTCTCCATTTCCCCCTCTCCAGTCTCCTGTCTGTAGTTCTCTAGTGAGTGTGCGGAGCTCTGTGTGTGTGTGTGTGTGTAAATAGCCAAGGTGGAAAAATCGATATAAATGAATACGGCAACATTTGGTCGCCCCCGAAAAAAAACAGAAGCAACAAAAAAAAAGGAGAAACCTCAACTGACTCAACTTGAGACACTGCGGAATGGCGATGGGTTTTTTAGCCCCTTACGTCAAACTTATAAAAAAAACGAGAACTTTTTTTGCACGCACAAGCAAAGCGAACGCGAGACACACACACATGCAGACGGGGAAAACCGTCAGGGGGGTAGGGAAAGTGAAAAGCGAGGGGGAAAACCAGCCCGAGGCCGTAGGCAGTCAGCGCGATTTTAAGCGCAGGCATATGAAAATTGCCATAAAAATATATATAGTACGCGTGCAGCGATTGCATACACTAACTTAACTTTTGATGATGGGGTAATTTGATTTTAACAATGCTTATAAATACAAATTTAACATCTAGGATATTTCTCAATTTAAAACGTGTTACAACTTAAATAACTCTAAGCAATTAGATTCTATAATTAATTTAATCAAACCAATATTTCAGTTGAATTATTATTCAAAGTAAAGTAAATATATATTCATAATAAAATGTTTTAAATATAACTTTAGAAAACATTATATTAATTATATTAGTAGTTGGAAAATTCGCTTAACAACAACATACCCTTTAAGCTTATATAGCAAAAGTTTCTATATACTTTTTAGGTCATCTATTTATAGTTTGATCTTTTATTCTGCAAAAGTTGCATTTTACACGAATGAAATACCCTAAAAAATATGGCTACATCAGCGCAAACAGTTAACAGAAGCCAACTTCCAGTTGGTTTAGCTTAATTAATCAAATCAAACATCCGGTCGTCTGGGGGACTTCCTGGTCCAGGATCTGATGTGTACTCCGCTGGGGTACCGAAGAGTATAAATAAATAAGGCAACAAAAACAAAAAACGAGAAGAGGAAGAAGGGAAGTGGGAGGAGAGAGATGAGGCAGGAGGCAGGACTATGAAGGAAGGATATAGGGACAGGAAGAGAATGCTGAAGCGGCGGAGAAGCGATTTCATGCTGCGGCTGCAATGTTTGCCCCAGTAAGTATGCTACACATTTCTCGAGGACGGGTTAAGTGCCGTGCTAGCAAGGGACACCGAGAGAGAAAGAGACCAAAGATGAGACAGAAACAGAGATGTGTGTGTGTGTTTTGTTTTTTTCTCATGCAACCAAGGCTTAACCACATTTGCACGCCGTTTCCTTCCATCTTGGAGACATTTGACATTTCAATTTCGAATTGGCCAGCGAAAGAAGAGGCCTACGAAATTTTCGGTTTTTCCATCTTCGATTTTTCCATCAACTACTACTGTTACTATCCGGGAGTATCCTCCATAGCGCCCGCCCATTTGCCTTGCCCTGCCGTGTACACACTTTGCCGAATTGTGTCCGTATTGATTTCTAATTACTTGGCCACACAGTATTTGGCTTAAGGTAGGACGCCAGGTGGCAGGTGGCAAGTGGGTTTTCTGGTTTTCGGTTTGAGGTTTGGGTTCTGGGTTCTGGGTTCTGGGTTGGCTAGATGGGCGGTATCAACGTGGAGGTGGGGGATAATGGGAGTGGCCACCCTTGATGGGGGGTCTAGTCTATTTGTTGTGGCGGCGTTGCCATGGCGGCTCCTATTGATTTTACCAACGCCACGAAACGCCATGAATCATGCCAGAGCTCAAGCCTATGCTCATGCCCCCCACACTTGAGCAAAGAAGTTGGTCTGAAAATATGTAAAATTAAGGTAATGGTGGGTGCTATGGGATTTGTTAGGATTTGTAAGAGTATCTACTTTAAATACCTAAGAATTTTGTTAATAGGTAATATATAATATAATACTGCTTGTTTTAAAAGTATAATACTTTTGATAGTTTACGAAATCCTGAAGAAATTCTAATTTTTATAATTCCAGATTTTAGGAGAATTACAAAGATTAAATATGTACTTCTAGCAAAGTTATACATTCCAATCACACATTTTAGAGTACAAAAGTAGTTATCAAATCGTCTCATATTAAGTTACTCAGGAACATTATCATTGCGGATGCAGGGATCAGTGTGAATTAAAAATCATTTAAAATAATAAATTAAAATATGTAGTATTAAAACAAAAATAATCAACATTTCCCTACCATCCTTTTTGTACCTTGCCTTGCACTTCTTTACATACCAAATACATTACTTGCACTACTAACCACTACTTTATTTTTACAGTGCATGCTTAATGCTCATCTACCTTGTTCACCCCGCATCCCGCACCCTTCATCCTCACCCATACACACACACACACACTCACTTCGCCTCACCGTTGAGCTTCCATTTGGCTATTGCGTGTTTAGCAATTTGCGGTTATATTATAATGACCACTTGATTTGCGTTCGCGTCGGCTTGAGCTCTCTTGCCTTTGCTTTTACCGCCTACTAATTGCGCGCTTGTGTATGTCCTTTCAGGCAGGAGCAGCAGCAGCAGGAGTAGCTAGCAGCAGGCAGCTGGCAGCAGGCATTCAGGAGCTAAAGGACAGCCCAAAGAACCGAAGGAGCAACAGTCGCGGAGGCAACGTCGAGACGCATGCACGCTCCATGCTCGCCGCTGGCTGATGGCCAAAGTCGGAATTGGAATTGGAATCGGAATCGGGACAATTGAATCGAACGCCGAACGCAAAGGAATCGACGAGGAACCCTTCCCGCATCAAGCATACGCCCCATTGCGCCGCACACCTGTGGATAGAGTGCAGCATGTCAACTTCAAAGCATCAGCGTCAGCATCACCATTACCGAGCCGGCTGCGTGTGGCTCCTCCTCCTGCTCTCATCGGCCAGTGCCGCCGTGAGTGCGATAGCGGAGCCCGAGGAGGCGGCCTTCCAAGGTGCGTTTGACATGTGTGACTGTAGATCTGTGACCGGCGCCCGCCTCTGGCCAGGTGCCTAATTGTGGAAATTGGGGTATTTGGAGTTTGGTATTTGGCCCTGGCATAGGCATAGCCACTTCTCCTCCTCTAACCAATCCCCTGCCCCCTTGACATATCAATACACGAGGACGTGGCCCTATTGTATGACCGAAACGAGCCTTTGACGTTAATGAGCGACTTAATTATGCGTGAGAGTGGCCCAAAACCAGAAAACCAGAAACCATACAGCAGGGAAAAAAAGCAGGCAGGGATCGGGAGTCATACAAACGACGCCTGGTTGTCGAATTTTTCAGGGCCCGTGGGGTTGAATCTGTCACTGCCAACGACAACGACAACGACAACGACAACGATGCGGATGCCGATGCTGATGTGTGCTGCTGACACTTCGATTTCAATTGCATACAAAATGCGATTTTTCAATTTCAATTTGAATACGCAATGCACTGCCGGCGGCGGCGGTACAAACGAACACCAGGACACACCAGGACACCAGCATCAGCATCAGCAGCAGCTCTTGTATGTGCATATGCAAATGGATTCCTCTGCTTGTCCACTGCACTTTAATCGTCCCCACAGTTGCTTAATCAACTAGCAAGAGCCGGCGTGCATGAATGCAGGATCTGCCTCGGCCTTCTTCCTTCATCCTTTTGATGACACTTTAACAGAGTAGCTGTTCGTGTTCGTGTCTCCGTTTCCATCTTCAGCTCTAGCTTTCCCTCAGAAAGAGGTGTATGTGTGTGTGTGTGTATTTGAGTGTGCTCGTTCCATTTAATACAATGTGTGTGACGTAAGTGCCATGCCCGGTTGCCACTCGGGCGTATGCGTAATGCTTGTAATGTTTTACTTTTCTTACACCTACTTCCTGCCTCCGCAGTGGCACAATTTCGGTGTCAAGTGGGCCAAATGCATTGCATAAAAGTCTTTGATTTGCCTATGAGAAATTTACATTTAAATTGCCATCGAACAGGAACTTTTTCCAAAGAACTAAAGAGTAGCACGAACTATCGCCCAGCCGAAGAGTTATTTAAGTAGTCATTATGAATTTACAGAGGCCAGGTGCGGGTGTGGGTGCGGGTGAGGGCTCTGCCATGGCCAGCCGTAAATTACCAAAAGCGTATGCCACAGTCAGAGACAGGAGAACAGGACAGGGACAGGACAGAATAGAACCGAGTAGACCAGACCAGACCAGACCAGGCCCAAAGTCCTTAAAGCTTATTAGAATTTATTGCGGACACGTCGGTCACACCCAGGAACACACACACAGGACACGCAGGACACTCAACTAAACTCGAGTGAACTGAATTGAAATTATGAACCCACACAGAAACAGAAACAGGGCCAAACCCCAAACTGACTATTTTCCCTGTTAGTCCTTATCGTCCATCTATATGGCACTAGCCCATACCCATACCCATACCCATACCCATACCTATACCCATTACTCTCGCCCACACAGGTCACTGCGGACACACCAGCCCCTGCGAGCAGCTCTGCTACGAGATCCACGATGGCATGTACGAGTGCGATTGCATCGAGGGCTACGAGCTGAACAAGAACGGTTACAGCTGTCAAGGTGCGTTTAGGATGCCTAAATGAATATGGATATGATGGGATATCCAAAGATGCAAATTCCAGTGGCCACAAAATTGATTTGCAATTTGCCATTTCATTTCATTTCATTTCGTTTCGTTTCGTTTTGGTTATTATTCGGAAATCAGCCTGTAATGGACATGTCCCCCAGTTTGGGGAACTCAACTGGTCGGGATTAGCCCCTCCCCGATTACATTTGCATGCGAAGCCGCCACTCTGTTATTATTTATTTTCGTACTGGCTTGTTCGAGGGAATTATTATTATTATTATTTTGTGATTGTTGCTCGCTTCGACAATGCACTGCCTTTGGCAAGTCGGTAAATTGATATTTTTGTGTTGTTATTCGGGGCTTACTTGATGTGTGTGTGCGAGTGTTTTGCATTTAATTTGTGCATTTTCGACAATGTGTCAAAAAAATTACATATCCAACGAGTAGTTATTTCCTAAAAAGCCATACACTGTTATCGAGGGAGAAATGCTTGATTAATAGAGTTTATTTTGCAAGTTTTTTTCTTTTTAATTCTGATATTATTCTGAATATTTTATATTTATATAAGTTTCCATTTTATATTTTATATTTATGCAGCACAGACTTATTTTTCTTTAATTATTGTATAGCTACTGACAGTTCTTTTTCTTTTTTTGCTAAAAAGAAGGTGTAACATCATTGTTAGAGTATAAACTGAAACAAAGGCTTTAAAGTTCTATTCCCAAACTTCATGTTTGCTGCCTTTCTGGGCTAGTTTTCCTCATAGTTTTAATTGAATAAATAATTTTCCATCCCACTGAGCTTCGTTTTGCGTGTATTTGATATTTTTAATTAACACTGAATGCTAAATGCATATCCATAACTGAATCGAAATATGACTTTTCAGTAATTAATGCCACTGCCAATGGTTCCGATGGGCGTGGCAAGTCCGACGAGGATGTGCTGTACCAGAAGGGCGCCTCCTTCAGCGCCAAGCTGGCCAACGATGACGGCAAATCGATGGCCAAGTCCTCGGACTTTAGAGGATCTGCTTTGCAAGCCGGCTCGCCGCCAGAAGGCAACAGCGAGGACGAGTCCGGATCGGAGGGCGATAGCTACGATTACGGTGAGGTAGAGGATAGCATTTCGGAGACACAGGAGCAGCGGAAGCAGCAATCGCTGGATGCCCAGAAGCAGCAGCAGCAGCAACAGCAACAGAAAGTCAATTCAAACGATTACTACATATCAGCCGAGAGCATCAACTTTAACTCGGAGTCCGAGGGAGTCCAGGAGCCGGATGTGGCTGACTTCAAAGCGGTCAGCACCGCGCCTCCGTCTACTGCGACGCCGCCAACAACGACGACAAGGAGCACCACCACGACTACGCGTAGATCCCCCACGGCAGCCCAGACCCAGAACCAATTGGACACCGATTACGGCGATGGAGACGACTATAGCTACAGCTACAAGTCGGACATGTCCGTCTACGACGACGTCAACAATAATCAATTAAACTTAAGACGCAACAGCAAATCGCAAACATATCAGCAGACAAGCAATACGAATAGCAACAGCGCCAAGAACCGAAGGAGGAACAATAACATTAGCAGCAGTAAGGTCCAAATGCATATCACGAGGGAGTCCACCTCGCAGCTGGGCAACATATCAGGAGCGGAGCAGGCGCCGTCGGACGTGGTCATGGCAACAGACAGGTGGGTCATAAAAGGGAGTGTGGGCGGAATTCCTTTATACACATTTTCATCAGTACAAAAGGAACGTCTTTCTTTTAAAATGTCCTCAAGAGTGGTTCGTTTCGTCCTCGTTTGTGGGGCAGCAGTTGTGCAGCATAAGTACGGAGAATGTACACATTTCGAAAGGCACCTTAATCTAATAAACCAAATTTTGCTACAAAGAGCCAACTATTTCCGTAGTTATTCCAAATTTCACTTCATTTGCAGCGGCCCCAGTTGCAATCTGGACTGTGGCACCGAGGGAATCTGTGCCTTGGAGGCCACTGCCGCCAGCTCCCGCTGCCTTTGTCCCTTTGGCAAGACAGGGCCGGGTTGCCAGGAAGGTGGGTTCAATCTCTTGAATGAAATCGTGTAAGATATATCAACATAATCTCTTATTATAATCCACAGACATTCGTGCCCATGTACCCCGCTTTGCCAAGCGATCCTGGCTGGCATTTCCGGCGCTCCATGGCGCCTACAAGCACGTCCAGCTGCGCATCGAGTTCCGTCCAGAATCCTTCGACGGCATCATTCTTTTGAGTGGAGAGCGGGATGACTTAACCGGGGACTTCATGGCTCTCCTGCTGAACAAGGGATTCGTGGAGTTCTGGTTCGACTGCGGCTCCGGTGTGGGTAGTGTTCGATCCAGGGAGACCATTCTGCTGAACGAATGGAACTCGGTAATCATCTATCGTCATCGCTGGGATGCCTGGCTGGTGCTTAACCATGGCACCAAGGTCCAGGGTAGATCGAATGTGAGTTTAAAGCAATTGTTCTAACGAAACAAGGCTTGCTTATGGTTTAAATATCCTTTCCAGGGCTTGTTCTCTCGCATCACCTTCCGGGAGCCGGTATTCCTGGGAGGTATTGGTAACATCACGGGATTGGCCAAGCGGTTGCCTCTGGCCGAGGGCTTTGCCGGCTGCATACGTCGCTTTGTGGCCAACGAACATGACTACAAGTTCACCGAACATCCTTTGGGCGATGTCATTAATGGATTTGATATACGTAAGTAGTAGAGATCCCCCTGGGTTACCCTTTCTTATATTATTTACTTAAACAGAGGACTGTTCCACGGACAAGTGCGTAAGGTATCCCTGCCAGCATGGCGGCAAGTGTCTGCCCTCGGATCAGGGTGCCATTTGTCTGTGTCCCATAGGCTTTGTGGGAGATCTGTGCGAGATTCGCATGGACCTGCAGGTGGGTGTCCCTTTAAGAAGCTTTATTTGACACTCTCCTTATATGATTAATCTTTTTCAGGTACCCGCCTTCAACGGCTCTTCGTTCCTGCGCTACGCTCCGCTGGGCGACAGTGCTCTTATCTGGTTGGAGTTGAAGGTTACCCTGAAGCCTGAACAGTCTGATGGACTGATCCTGTACTCAGGTCCGGAACATCGAGGTGATTTTATAGCCCTGTACCTCAACGAGGGCTTTGTGGAGTTTGCCTTTGACCTGGGCAGTGGTCCGGCTTTAGTCCGGTGAGTAGAGAAGTAAAGGTTCCTTTTTTAAGGAAGTCTCCAAATAAATCGTATATTTCCTTCCTCAGGAGTGAGCATTCCCTTAGTCTGGGTCAATGGCACACCATCAGGATCTCTCGAACGGCTCGCCTGGCGGTGCTCAAGGTGGGGAAATCTCGACATCTTATTGTCAGTCTTGAATAACCTTTTTATTTTGAACCCCCTAGGTGGATCAATATCAGGAGGTGATGACCATCTCGTCGAATGGCTTCTGGCACTTGTCTTTGGACCAGAATCTCTTTGTGGGCGGCGTTAACCACGTAGACCGGCTCCCACTGGACCTCAAGTACAAGCCCTTCTTTGTGGGCTGCATCCAGAAGGTGGGTTTGGAGATGCATCTGTTCTGTCTTCACTTCGCCTTATGCTCCTTTGTTTGCCACTTACAGATTGAAATCAATGGCCACTCTCTGGGCATTGTGGCGGAGGCACTGGGGGGCAGCAACATTGGCAACTGCCCCCACGCCTGTGTGGCCCGGCCCTGCGGTCCCCTGGCGGAGTGCGTTCCCCAGATGGAGACCTACGAGTGCCGCTGCAGCATCCACAACGAGCGCTGCAACAAGGCCGCCGAAGTGCCACCAGAGCAGCTGCCGGAGCTGGGCATCATTCACAAGTCCAAGGTCCTTGAGACAAAGGACAATGGCGAGGCAGTGAAGAAGGTTGCTGGCTTGCCGCACAAGAAGCATTCAAAGAAGCACAGGAATTTGCATAAGCCAACCCCTGCCACGAGCACAAGTATCTCCACGTCCACCACCACCACGACTAGCGCCCCAACCAGTACGTCCGCAGCTCCTGAGTTGAACGAGGCAGCCACAGCGGGGGCGCTGAGCAACGAGGAAATCGAAGATGATATCATATTCCGCTTTGTGCAGCAACAACAGCAGCAGAAAGAGCTCAGGGAACATCACCAGACGTCCACCACCACGGCCCCGCCCAAGCCCAGGCCCAAGCTGTCCGGGAAACACCTAGCCAGCAAGCACGAGCACCATCAGAAGCCCAACGCGGCCTTCGCCCGCAAGCTGAGTCGCCTGCCCACCCACTATGAAAGTTTCCAGACGAACCCCGACAGCGACATCCTCACCTTCGAGGACAACAACGATTGGGTGGCCAGCCTGCAGCAGCAGGAGTATGCCGATGCCATGGCAGCATCCAGCCAGACGCCAACGGGCAGCCTGCAGGAGGAGGAGGTTCACCCCAAGCCAAGCGAAGACAACGACAATGAGGAGGATGCGGATGCCTTTGTGTTCGACGAGACACTGTTTGACGCCTCGGACGGCACAGAGGAGTATCAGCGCAAGCAGCTGGCTCAGGATATGAAACGCATCATGTCCAACTCCAACACGCACTCCAGCCACAAGAAGTCCGAGGTCCAAGCCCCATTCCAGTCCAGTCCCGTCCAGTATGCGGCCTCGCCCAACGAAGATGTCTCGCAGTCGCAATACAGCGATGATTACAACGACGATGAGTTGCTTACCCCCGTGATGCAGGCGGGCGAGGATGCGCCGCTCAAGTCGGAGCAACATGCCTCCAGCACACCGCAGACTCATACCGATTGGAGCCTGCTCAAGAAGTTTGACCTGTCCGCCGAGCATCAGTCGCAGGTGCAGGGCGTCCGTAAGAACTTCGGAGCCTGCTTCGCCGGCAGCGATAGCTATTTTCACTACAACGACGCGGACACCATGAGCCAGGTGATCAGCTACAGCATCGATCTCAATCTGCGCATCAAGACGCATTCCGAGAATGGTGTGATCCTGTGGACGGGGCGCCAAGGAACAACAGAGGAACACGATGACTATCTATCCTTGGGAATTGAACAGGGGTAGGTTAAGGCATTAGGTTCAATAATTACTTTTAACTTTAACTATTTCTAACTTTTACTATTTCAAGGTACTTGCACTTCCGCTATGATTTGGGTTCTGGAGAGGTGGACATCCGGTTCAATGGCACCAAGGTCAGCGATGGCCTGTGGCATCGAGTGAGAGCCATAAGGTAAGAAATACTCTTCAGATTTATAACAAGAATATAACTAATTATTATGGCTCTCTATACAGGAACTCCCAAGAGGGATATCTTGAGGTGGATGGCAGAAAGACAGACACGCTTAGAACGCCGGGTAAGCTCCGCCAGCTAAACACGGACACGGGCCTGTATGTGGGTAAGTATGCCCTCAGCTCATATATCCTTCTGCCAGAGACTTCAAGGATATGATTTTTGCAGGCGGCATGCCCGATGTGGGTTACTTCACGCACCAACGCTACTTCAGCGGCATCGTCGGCTGCATCTCAGAGATTGTGCTGGCCGGCGAGATGAAGCTTAACTTCGATCCCAACACGCTGGGAACGGAGCACAACGTGGAGACGGGCCTCCTATGAAACGCTGTACCGCACGCACGCCTCAAGACTTTTGATAACGACTAGTTTAAATGTTATGTTAGCCACACAAATGTCCTTTGTCGGTTTGTGTTTGTACAAATACGCTTTTAAAACAAAAACAGAGAACGAACGAGAGGAAGGATTACAGGAGGAGCATTTTTTTACACCATGAGATGGAGACGAGGAAGGAGATGATGATGCAGGTGGACGAGAAGATACTATCTAGAAGGGAAACATACTACATATTATATACAAGCATATTGAGTATATACAAAGGCATACACATAGATATATATATATACATATATATATTTAAAGCAGAGGAAAACAAAAATCGAAAAACAAAAGGGCACGCTTTGAATAGAGCCTGTGACTGTCAATACTTCAGAACGGAATAGTTTATATATAACTTTAGCAAACAAAACAAAAAAAAATAAGGATTTATATATGGAAGGCGTGCAAGTCATATAGAATATGAAACGAAAGCGGAAATTCGATAATCGGAGTAACTGTCCATGGCGCGATTAGCGATTAACAACTAACGATTAAAACGATTAACGAAATTCAATATAGCGATACTTTAGTGTGTGGTCGCTTTTTATTGAACGAACCGTTACGCTTTTACACGCTGAGCTGCCATCTTTTTGTACCACACACACACACACACAAACGACACACACCTAACACACGGTTACAAATGCAAATATTGGCAATTCTTTCGTTTTTCGCATTGCTGTACCTTAAACTATATGAACTGTAAACTGTATAACTGTACATTCAGCACTATTTGGCGCTTCTTGGAAGGTCCAGTGTCCAAAAGAACAAAAATCGAACGAATCAAAGAGCGAAAAGCGAAGGATGTTAGAGAACGGAACAAACATATTAAGTGGTAAGTTAATAAATGTGTAGCGTGTACTAGCTCGTAAGTTGGCACACACTCGACACTCAACACAAACACACACACGCCTGCCTATATTAACTTTTATATCAATTAACAAATCGTAAGAGATACTAAAGACACCAAAGATACTTAAGACATACGTAAGGACACTTACACAAAACACTACTCGAACACACGCTAACCCAGAATTGAAACTTGTGAGCGATTTTTAACAATTTATACTACAAACACAATACAACTACACACCACAAACAAAATAAACAAACAAATAAACAGAGACACCAACAACAAACTAGCTAATGGAAACCAAAACGAAAACGAAAGCAAAGCAATTTAACAATCCCAATAGCGAAATTTTTAAAAAGCGAAACAAACAAACAACTAACCCGAGAATAGCCTGTTGTAACAATTGTAAAACGAAAGCTAACAGAGTATGGTAAAAATAAATAAATATAAACCGAATAACGAATTACGAAAAGGATAACGAGAGGGAAACGTTTGTATTCGTCTTATGAGTATATAATTTTGTAGCTTAATGAGATAAACCACGTATGTAGTTATATATATACATTATAACACACATATGCGTAACTACATATACATATATGACTATGAGAACAACAACTATAGAAACAATGGCGTAAAAAATGAATAAAGAAATCACAACCACCAATCAATGTAAAACTAAATTAAACGACATTCAATGTAGCTTATTTATATGACGAAATGGAAAAGTCGCAAGTCGCTGGAGGCATTGAGAATATTTAATTTCGTACATTGGTTTGCAGAAAATAAAGATAAAAAGATTCTAAATAACGGTCGTTTTGAATTTTGAATTTGAACTCTAGATGCTTTTGGCGGTTTACTGGTTGGAGCTGGAACTGGTTCGGTCGCTTCACAATGATTGTTTCTTACTGTGCACGTTTTTCAACACTGATTCCCAGACAGGTAAATTTTATTATTCGCCAAAAATTATAGAACTTTATTATTTTAAATTTGAAATGATTATTTAATTGTATAACCATAATTAATTAAATAGGTCAAATAATTATTATTATTATTATCATTACCAGGAGTTTATTTAAATATATAATTTAACAATTCTATCGCCTCGCGCCACCTATCGATAGTTGGCTGGTTGTTTTTGGTATATTGGTATATTTCACCGACGGTCACACTGAAAAAGCTGCGACCGACGACAACAACATAAACAACAACAACATCGCCAAGTGATTTTTTTTTTTTGGCCAACTCTCCGAGATTCAAGATACGAAAGAGACGAAAACGGAGTTTGACGGATTGCGGAAGAGCGGCCTGACCACCAGACGCGGAAGTAGTAATCAAAACACAACTCGCCACCAGCCATGGCCGCGGTGCTGCCGGAGAACGCGGCCGAAATTGCGGTGGCCAACGCAATCAATAACATCAACGGGAATAATGCAAATGGAAATGGACGCAATCGGGTGCTGGCGGGCGGTGGCGGCGTCGGCGGTGGTGGCGGATTAGGGGGTGGCGGACAGGTGAGTGTACATAAGCTAGTGCGGCACGGCAACCTTATCTTGGCCTTGTTTTAACTTACAGAACAACATGATGAACATGCGGGACCGCCTGTTTCACGCCATTTACTTTCGGGCGGCGGCTGCCTACGCGGAGCTGGTTCCACGGTGAGTGTCATTGCTCCCAGTCTTATCTTTGCCGCTCTGTTATCACTATCTGTGTTCCAGGAAGGTGCAGCTGACCATCGAGTTCCTGCTTCTGGCCAAGGCGCTACTGTTCTTCTTCACCCTCATTTACGTACACAATGCGTTTATCAAGAACCCTTGCACTTGTCTGCAGGAGGTGCAGAACTGGCCGCGAGAGGGGGTCATCAGGCAAGGCTTAAGCACACCAAAATCCTTATGCTCCTTATTGCTAAATATTTGTACCCTTTCTTTGGCAGAGTGGAGATTATACCACATCTGGCGGAGAAGCGGGCCATTTGGCAGGGCATCAAGCGGGACCAGCACATTGTGCGCTCCTTAAAGGACTCCTAGTAGGTACTCCCAACATGTAATAAAGGCTTAAGACTCATGAAAGACTGTTATGTTTCAGCTACTATGGCATAGGCCCACAAACCCACGAGAATCACAAGCAGCTGAAGCGTTATGAATCGATCCTGGGCAGACTGGGCCTACCCGTTCGCCCCACATTTGCCTACAGCAACGAATCGCTGTACTACTACTTTGATGCCATCAATATACTGGACACCTATGATCATCCCAATGCCATACAGCTCAAGAACGAAGAAGATGATGGTGAGATTATCACGGAAAGCATCTTGCAAATAGCAATGAAACCTATTCTTTTATTGTATATTTATAGAAGAGCAGTACATTGTGGAGTACTCGCTGGAGTACGGCCATCTGCGCCTGTCTGCTGCCACGAGAAAGCGCCTGCAGATCCCAGTGCTCACTGTCCAACTGGATCCCAATACGAACAAGTGTTTCGGTGACGGGCTGACGCGCTATCTGCTGAAGCGATTGCTCGGGTAGGGTATTCACTATCTCTTCTTAATCTGATTCCTTAACTTAAAACCTCTGTGTTTTTTCATAGTTATGATGACTTGCTGATGGCCTCGGTGAGAGCAATAGCCGAGAAGGAGGAAAACAAGGGTTATTTGCGCAATGTGATCACCGGCGAGCACTATCGATTCGTGTCGATGTGGTGGGCAGCTTGGAGCAGTTACCCCGTTGCCTTTTGTGTGATGCTTCTGTTTGTGAGTGACTACTTATTTTAATTAATTTAAAATATATACTATATAAACTCATCTCTTTCAGACCTTTTCGGTATCTATGCTGCTTCGTTATTCGCATCACCAGATCTTTGTCTTCATAGGTAGCTACTCCGAAGAGCAATGCGTAATTGAAATCCTTGAATATGTCTTGTCCTTGTCTTTACAGTGGACTTGCTGCAAATGCTGGAGTACAATGTGTCCGCCCGGTTCCCTATAGCTCCTTTGCTTACCGTCATTCTGGCGCTCGTAGGTGAGCTAAAACCTTTGCGACTAATTAACTTGCATGGCCATTAACCGTGTTCTATTTTTGGCTCTGCCTCTCTCTCTCTGCTGCAGGAATGGAGGCCATTATGTCTGAATTCTTCAACGACACCACGACGGCCTTCTACATCATACTGATTGTGTGGATAGCGGATCAATACGATGCCATATGTTGCCACACGAGCATCACCAAGCGTCATTGGCTCAGGTGCGTACCACACTCGCATCCCCAAGCGCATTTTCAGGAAGGCTCTCAGGTCATGTTTGATTTTTTTTCTTTTTTTTGTGCTTCTGTGAAATCGTCCGTGGCCCGAACAAATGACAAATTCAATTACATTAAGTCTGCAATCCTTTCCAGCATCTATGTCTGTATGTTGCTGCTGCTGTCGGGCCATAGATAATAGCATCTTGTCCCTCCCATTGCCATTCCCACCTCCCGTCATCAGCACTTAACAGTTCATTTCGTTCGGTTTCGCATATTTTCCTTCTCCAGCGTATTTTACACTCCTTGTCCTCACCAAACCAACGACGCTTGGAGTCCCGGTTGTTATTTGAAAATTAACTTGGCTTGCGCAAGCCTCCCCCGGGGCCAGAAACAAATCGACCAGTGGCCATCCATCCCCTTTGCCTTTGGGGCGGGTGCTAGTGGGTAATGTTCCCCACACCCACACCCACACCCACTCACACACACCAACACACAGACACCGGCAAACAGAGAATTTCATCACTTAAGTCAACAAGCGTAACCCAAGCGGCAAGCCACATCCATGTAGCTCCCAACCAACTGAGCCGCGCCATTAGCAAACATTTAAATAAACTCGCTTCTTCATAACACAAAAAAGAAAGAAACGGAGAGGGAAATATGCGGAAAAGCGAAGGAAATTTAGAGCCTAGCTCATTCCCGTTCGATCGACATTAATGACCATGCACGTCAGGACTGAACAGGACAGGACAGGACAGGACAACCCCATCGTTTCGTAACCCATTCCCAGGCCAAAAGCGTAGCTACTTTGCGGTTTATTACGCGCACTTTGCATAATTGAGAAGCGGCCGCCGCAAAGAAATTATTTTTTACTTTTTTTTTTCGGCAAGTCGGGCATCAATTTCCACAATGCGCCGAAGGAGGGGGACCATCAATAATTCAAAAAGACACTCGAAAATTCCCTTTTTAGCAAACGTCTGTCCGTCCTTCGGTTCGTGCTCCTTGATTATGAATTCATGTGCATGCATCCTGTCCTCAATCACTGCGGTGTTGATTTTGCGTAATTTGCGCCGAATTAAATGGCTATCAGTGCTCCCTGAAAACGAGGCCCGTCTCCTTGAAGACCACTTGTCGTCCGTATTTATATTCATTAAAGATTCATCGACGCGAATGATTTTAAATGCTTGAGGCTTGTGTTTGCCCAGAGCTTGTCGCGGGATTGTTATGGAAATGGAAAATGGCAGCGACAGCGGCAGCTGGGAAATGCCCAAACGATATCCGTGGCCTCAATTAGCAGGGAGCTTGTCCACGATGCATGTGGGACATGAATTTATGAGAGGAATAGGGAGCACCCATAGAATGCCTTCTGCAGCTCTCAAATATCTCGAAACCGAGATGAAAAGGTAGTCCGGATTCCGGATGCCATCGATAGTTTCCATACGCACCGAGACTACTAATCTTTGGGCCTGGCTGCCGGGTTGATGTGCTGCTGTTGGCCAAAAGAAGTTTCCTTTTGTGTCTGCCGGCCCTTGGAGTTTCGCATAACTCATCATTTGCTTGCCCCGAGATTGTCAAACTTTTTGTGAGGAAAGAAAAAGTTTTGAATGAAAAAATATCCAATTGCAATGTGTGCGCCGGTTGAGAATCCTTTTCTATGCAATTGAATGGCAAACAATATTCAATGTTTCGCCTTCGTCTAGGTAGCTAAAATGTGGTATCCAAGAAGGAGAAGCTTCTCCTGGGGCAGCTGCTTGGTCCTCGCTTTAAGTGAAATTAATTCAGCAAAGGGTCTGCACTATCCCCTGGCATGTGAGTGCCATATGGACAGGACACTCTGCCGGAACCATAAATGCAGGCATCTGAGTTGTGTGTGTGTGTCTGCAGGGTGTATTTTGTGGGGGGAGAGAAAGATATTGTGTGTGTGTATGCTTTCGTACGGTTTAATTTTGCTGTTATTGACTGCCTCGGGCTGTGAAAGGGGTTTCCGGTACTGTTTTTCTATACCCTTGAACTGGGCATTAATAGTTTGTGTAGGGAGTTGTGACACAATCTTCAAGAAACTCCAATAGATCTTAGTATTTTAAACAAGGATCTTAATAAATCTTGAAAACATTAAAAGAGTGATGGTTTCGTAAAGATAGGTCTATCAAGGCCACTGAAAGTCACAAAATTCTTCAATTTTTTTAAAAGATTACCTAAAAATGTGTAAATATATATCCCTTTTCCGGGTATTATAGTTTTAGTCATATATATTCTTGATCAGCTTTAACAGCCAAGTCGATCACAGGCAAAAATAAAAGAAATTTCCCAATTTTTATAAGGGGTTACATACTAAAAATTTTCAAAAATTGATACAACAAATTTTAATGTTTAAATTGAGTATGGAAATTTGTTAACCAAACAAAAACTAACATAAGAAAGCTTTCCAAATCAATATTAATGCTTTTTCGACTTAGTTGTGAGATTTTAAAACATTTAGTAGTCCAAAAAATGTCCATTTGAAAATATCTATAAATATTTTAAGCTTAGTTATGATCGTTTTTCGATTCGATTCTATAATTCATTTGAAAACTATATGGGTATATTAACGTCGGCTTTCCAAAATCAGTTTCCATTCTTGTTTGTTATTTTATATACGATCTATATTTTCTATATGTCAAAAAACACTATAACCTATAACAGTTTAATTCTCTATTATTAAAAAACCTTTTAAGAAGGCGTCTCTACCTCGTTGTTCAACTTGTAAGCCATATGAATATTTCAAAGCTCTTAAGGTTGATTATCTTTTCATTAAAAAGTTCGGAACTTTTATTCCATTCTCTCTCGATTTAAGCTTAAGAAAAGAAGATCCTATTAACCCGCACCTTACAAGTTTGTAAAGTTTTTAAAGTTTACCTTAAGAATCCCTATATTTCAAAAAGACGAGTAAACTCAATTTCCCTCTCTCTGTTAAGGAATTTGCAAAGTCCATTAAGCATAATTGTGAACCGGGTTAAAAATGTGTTACTTTTTAGTAATTCCAAATCCCTGGTTGGGTATATAAAACTTCGGTTTTCCAAATATATATAAAAATCCTTTCCTCTTGTTAGCTTCTGGTTTGGCTCGGCTGTTGTTGGTCCTGCGGTTATGGGTTACAGGGCCGGGATTGCTTGTTCTGCTGCTTCCTTCCTGACTTCCTTCCTGCCTGCCTGGTGGTGATGGTGGTGGTGCTCCTTCTCGTGATCCTTCTGCTCCTGCTTCCGTATTTGCTCGCCTGTTTTTGCGGTTAACTTGGTCTGCGGAAGGCAGGCAGTCGGCGAGTCAGCCAAGGCCCAAGCCGGCTGGCATTGAAGTTGGCATACAAGACAAACAAGCTGGCGGCGCTTTTTGCTTTTTAGCTGCGTCCCAGAAATCCCCGCCTGCTATCGCGATGCTCCCCTCCCCCCTCAGAATGGTATTAATTTCATTGCATAGACTAATTTGTGTACTTAAACTTTGCTAAAAGTTGCAATCAACGTGAATTGCAAATGGTTGAATTGCAGACGGCAGTTGGAAGCTTAAAACTGTCAAGTGGCCCAGTCGAAAGGGGGAACAAAGCCTCCAGCTCCAGTTCTAGCAGCTTTTGCTTTTAGCCAGCCAACAACTAACCATCTGAACTTCCTGTCAATTGCCTTCAATTCATTCTAATTGACTTTTAAGGGACTTTAAAGCCATCAAAGGAGTGCTCCTGCTCCTGCCCTCTGCTCGGCTCCTCTTAATCGCCGTTTAACGAGCCCGCCAAGCCATCCCTAACTACCGGCTTCCATACGGCTGGATGGGATGGTGGAGTATAATAAGCCCCTGACACCACCCAACTTTCACCCCCATCCCAGGCAGCCCTTTCTGTTCGCGCCAGCTTCTTATTTTGCCCTGTGGCTTCTTGCGGCGCGTAATGCTTCTTTTGTGCTTAAATCTGGTTGCCAGGCACGGGGCAGACGACACGTATTAAATGAGCTGCAAACGCACAGGAAAAAGCTAAAAGAAACACCTGCCAGCCAGTTGTGCCTCCCCAATGCCCGCTGGCTACGAATCTGGCTTGAATCCTGCGCAGATTGTTTGTCGCTGGCAAGGAAGCTGTCGCACTGAGGCCAAAGGACCAGTGCTGTCAATTGCTTATTTTATTAGGCACAACAGATCGGGCTAATAAGTAAAGGATCTAAGATAATTGAAAGTTTTTAATAATTATTTGTATATCAAATGATTAAAAGTTAAACAGTGATATATAGTAGTTTTTATTATAGAAGAAAGTGGCCTAAAATTGCCTTTAACTAAAAGATCACTTTCCTAAATTTGGAATTATAATTAGCCATGTTTTTATTTAATCTAAATATTATTTAAAATATGTTCTTCATTCTGCTTTTATCCTTGTAGTCCTTACTATTTGCCTCGATCATTAGTTACTCGTCCTTGTGATAGTTGTTGATGGTTGCCTTTACTCGTTGTTTTGCTGTTAAGCTCGTCGTTTTTACTCGTCGCTTTGCTTGCTCTTCCAAACAAGGATCCTGTGGAAAAACTTCTTTAAATTGGAACAAACTAGTGTGGGAAATATTTTCTTTAAAAACTCTCAATAACACGCTTTATAAATCACAGATTAGATTACCAAACAGTGACATATTTGGCATAATTTCCGCCTAAAACTCCTTAAACCAAGTACATAATCTAACCAAAATCAGGACGAATTGACAGCACTACCAAGACTTCGCTTTGGTGGCATCAAAGAGCAAAATGCCAGGCACAAGTCCTGGCTGGAAGAGGGTGTAAAGGGGTCAGGTCGTCGGTTACAGTAGCGCGCCTCAAGTAGCTGCCTTCGTCTCCGCTTTCGTCCTGTTGTTTACACGCTTGTTACGCTAACAAACACACGGGCCATAGCTGTGCTGTGCTATATATATATAAGCGCGAACAAATATATATATTGGGACCAAAAGACCATATAATATATATATTCGCTTGCCATTGTTGCCGCTGCTCGGTCTCAAAGGTGGCCACGGTGTCGGCGGGTTAGCCTCAACGTCAACGGCATCGGCAACGGGGAACCATGGTGAAGAACAGGACCCCGGGAAATCGGGGGAAACAAGGCGGGTGGCATTTTCCTTACGCTTTGCACTCCTTTGGCTGTTTTCGTGTTGATTGAGATCATGTTACGCAAAGTATAATTGCGTCAAGTTTGTTTTTCTGCCATAACTTTTGTCCAACCGCGCCGAGCGACGAGCGCCGAGCGCCGAGCAGAAGTGGCCACCCAAAGGAGTGAGAGGTAGAGAGGGTGGGTTGGCATGGGTGGCATAGTCCTCCATGGACGTGTCCTGGGCGTAACCCCTAACCAAGTGGGTGTTGTTCAAAGGTGCAGTTGATGAGTGTTCATAACGAGGCAAAATCGCTTCATTGTTATACGCTTCTCCTGCTGCTCCTGCTCCTGCTCCTGCTCCTGATACTCCTCCGGCGAGGCCTGTCAACTTGTGTGTGTGTGTGCTGTGCTCCGTTTGTTTCAGTTTCAGCTTGTTGTTTGTTTGCCAACATGGCGTATGCGCAACGTGCCTTTGTCTCCTCGCTGCTGTTTGCATATGTATGCGCCCAACTCTGTCCTGTTCCAATTTATGCATGAAAATGGGTCGTTTTCACGCATTTAGAGGCAAGAGCAGCAGCAGCAGCAGCAGCAGGGTCAGGCAACACATTGTGTATTTGCTGTGCAAATACTTCAGTTTTTTCCCTGATATTTCAATTAAGTTTCGAGTTGCATTTGGGTGGTTTTTTCGCATCCCTCATAATCGAACTCATAATACTACTTACAACGCTGCCAGCCAGAGCACTCAATCCCATATGCAAATGCTATTAAAAGCAGCCACACCAGCAAATGTGCTTACAAGCTCATTGAGCACTTTAACTATTACCAAGTTCCCCCATTCCTCACTCTCTCTCTGCTATCCTGTTTGCTGGCAACAAATAAACACTTATGACGCAGATCGGATCACACACCGTCGCTGGAGGAGCCGTCAACGGCAACAGTGCAGGTTGAGCGCCGAGGTGCTTACTTAACTACGCTCCTCCGACTCCGACTCCGACTCAGTGCTCAGTCTCAGTGCTCAGACACATGCAACAGTTGTCCTATTTGCCATCCTATCTTGCCATCACCACCCACTTCCGCTCTGTCTCCCCCCAGGACTCTCTCGGGTCGAAGGATATGAAAGCCAAACAGTATTTGCCTGGCGCACATCCGTCCTCTCATCCGTTGGCACACTGGTCCAATGATAGCTATGAAACTGATTTAGATACCTCTGTCAATTACATCTTTGTGAAGAGCAAGCAAAAATGTTTTTAATTACAACTAGTTAAAATATAACATATTTAGGATACACTGGTCCAATGATAGCTATGAAACTGATTTAGATACCTATGTCAATTACATCTTTGTGAAGAGAAAGCAAAAATGTTTTTAATTACAACTAGTTTTAATATATTTAGGATACAGTGGTCCAATGATTGCTGCGAAACTGATTTAGATATGTCAATTACATCTTTGTGAGGAGAAAGCAAAAATAATTTTAATTACAACTAGTTTTAATATATTTAGGATACAGTGGTCCAATGATAGCTGCGAAACTGATTTAGAAATGTCAATTACATCTTTGTGAGGAGAAAGCAAAAATAATTTTAATTACAACTAGTTTTAATATATTTAGGATACAGTAGTCCAATGATAGCTGCGAAACTGATTTAGATATGTCAATTACATCTTTGTGAGGAGAAAGCAAAAATAATTTTAATTACAACTAGTTTTGTAATAATATCTTTAGGGTACAGAGCATTAAAGGGTTTAACCAGAAAAGTGAGATATTATGCTTAAATAAGTCTGAATATTCCCTATCTTTGAAGCAATATGTATCAAGAATTAATATGGCAAATTTGTTGATAAATCAAAGTTTGAAAATTTTATAACTCAGCCAAAAATTCTTTAATTTCAATTCGGATAGCTTTTCTATGTTAGTTTTGATTAGGTTAATTAATCTGCATACTCCATTAAAAAAATGAAAAATTTGATCAATTTTTGACTTTTTTAACGATGTAACTCCTTATAAAAATTTGACAAAATGGCTAGATCGATTCAGCTGTTGATGCTGATCAATGATATATAATATATAATATATAACAGTTATAAAACCCTGCAAGGTTATACAAATTTTATAGTTTAGAAGAAATACTTAAGAAAGTTGTATGTTTAAGGGATCTGTCCTTTCAAAGATGTTGTCCTTTAAGGGCAGTTTATCAAGGACTTCTTCGCTGTAAGGACGAACTGTTCGTCAAAAAGCAGTATCCTTATGATAATGCAGCCTGTCAGTTAGGGATTCCGTCGCTGTCAGTGCACTGTGCCTGGCCCGAGGCGCTGCAAGGCGATGTGGTGTAATGTGGTATGTGGCAAGGATGAGAACGGATGAGTGGGCAAGAGGATGGGCGGAGGATTCACAGTCACTGTCACAGGAAAGGGTAAAGGATGCGGGAACAGCACAAACTGGCGTGTAGCTGCTTGTCAACGCTACGCTACATTAGGAAAGCGAATGAAACGGAAACGAACGGGCGATAAGTGTTGTCTACGTGTCTGCAGCTCGCACTTCCACTTCCACATCCGTTTCCCCAGGACAGGAGAAGGGGGAGGGGGAGAGTGGTGGAAATTGAGGAAATTGCTGGCAAGCGTTTGGCGGGGGATGTGTCCATAATGCTCCCTGGCTTGCGCAATGCCCTGGAAAGGCTTTGCTAAATAAGTGTCGTGTGTCTTCATTTGTCGCCGGAGTGTCCTGTAGCGTATGTGTATGTGTGTGTGTGTGTGTGCACAATCAACTCGAATTAAATTCAATAACATAACTCAATCAATGGAACCCAAAAAAAAATAAAATAGGAAAACAAGCTGGCGCTCTAAAAATAAATTAAAGTTGAATTCCGCCAAAGGACCCACCTCGGTCCGGTTGTCAGGCTCTGTCCATCCGGCTGTCCCATAGGTCCTTCGTCCGGCTGCTCGACCATTGCTTATCAATGGAGTCGCCTTGGCTGTCATTATTGTTGCTTCTGTTGTTGTTACGGCCATCCATTGTGTGCTTTTATTTGTTGTCTTTGGCGAGCAACAATTCAACTAACAGCGCCAGCAATTATTTATATTATTAAATCCTCTTGAGTGTTTTTCTTGTTTTTTTCTTGCCTGCGTCCTTCTTTCCGCTCCTTCGGCTATTGTTGTTTCCGTTTCTAGCCGCCCGCTGTTGTCTTGGCAGTTTTGATATTTGTCCGCCTCGGCTACGGTTACTTGTTACTCTTATGTCATGGCCCCGTGTGCACCCATCCAGCCGCCATCCGTCTGACCCATTTCTCCGAAGCTTATGCCCAGCCCCAAAAAAAAAATAAAAACAAACCATGAGGAAGGGAAGGAGGTTCTGGGGAAGGAATATAAAAAAATAATAGAAAAACAGAAACCAATATGTTTTCGCTTTTTATTTCTATCAGCTAAATACCGGATGGTAATCATGATAGCCCCCCTTTAGTCCTTCGAAAACATCGAACCCCCCCCCACACACGCGATCGCTGATGTTTGATGAGGGTTTTCTCTTTCATAGACTCAGACACCAATTTTTGGTAGCTTTAAAGAAATTAGAGAAGGAAAAAGATTGCCTATGATTAATGTGTTTTGGTTTTTTCTTAGATTGTTTCTCGCTTTGCCTTAAGTGCTTTTGACACTTTTGAGGGAACTGGAGTGGGTGCAAATGTATCACTTAGTTATTGACAGAACTTGTATAGCGCAACACGTAGAATCATTCGGTTTCAACTCGAAAGCGACTTGAAAAAGGGTCCTTGAAAGAGCGGTTTCTTTGGGAGTAAACCCGGTTTCTTGTGAGAGATCTTAAGTGGCACGGATATCTTCCTTGTGAGCTCTGCTTATTGGTTCTAGATGGTTATAGAATCCAGAATATATTTAGATACAAATTGGACTGTTAAACCTCACTTTTTGTTTAGTTTTGATTAAATTCATTACAGAAGTGATATCCTGCCAAACTCAAAGAGTGAACCCCACTGCTATTGGCATCCAAAATATGCCTCGTGAATCTCTGGCAGGGAGGCATATATCTGTCCTGCCTGCATTCTGCATTGGACAATTGTTTTAGAGCTTCTTCTAACCTATCCCTCTTTCTGTTTTTTTTTTCTCCTCCGCAGGTTCTTCTACCTGTACCACTTCGCGTTCTATGCGTATCACTACCGCTTCAGTGGACAGTACAGGACGCTGGCCCTGCTCTCCTCGTACCTCTTCACCCAGGTAAGTGAGGGATGTGGGGGATGCAGCCAAGCTGGATAGCTGGATGGCCTTATGACCATGGCTCCATGGCGTAACCATGGCGAATAATGAATGCGTTATGCAACGGCGCTGCGACAATGATGGAAACGAACTCCGGCCATGTTTACGCCTGTCAAGTGCATGACAAATTGCCATTCTGGTGACTGCTCCGATCCGCCACTGCCATTGCCATTGTGGCATTGTTTCCAGCCAGGGTGCTGTGCTGGGGCTCACGTGCAGACCGGGACTTGGCTCACGTGCCCGGCAGACCCATGGCATAACGTCTCATCCTCTCATGCTTCAACCCTATATATCTGTCTGAGCTTGGGTCCTGCCTTTTTCCCCTTTTCGCAGCACTCGATAGTGTTCTTCTTTCATCGCTACGAGCTGCCAGCCATCATGGCCCAGCACCAGGTCTTCATCATCACACGCAACCAGGGGGCAGCAGCAGCAGCAGCGGCCGCAGCAGCAGCACGGGGTGGAGTGGCGCCAGGACCGGGTGGAGCAGCAGCCCAGGGGGACCCAGGAGCGGAAGCAGGAGCACCCGTCGTTGGCCAGCAGGCGGCCATGCAACGTGCCCGCCACATCGTGACCCGACTCTTCGTCCAACTGGCTGCACAGCGTCGGCAGCAGCGATTGCAACAGCAACAGCAACAGCAGCAGCAGCAGCCGGAGCCACAGCGGGCACCTGGACCCACTTACGCCGTCGGCGTGGCCTTGGCTAACCTTAGACGACTACCCGTGGTGGGACAGTGGCTGCAGGGCCGCGAGCAATTCGCCACCGTGCGTCGCGTCTTCCTGGGACACGGCGGCAACGGGCGTCTGATGCAAGTTCACCTGCAGCGCATCAACGTGGCCGACATGCAAGATATCCAGGGCTTGCGCAATCAAATAACTGCAGCCATTGCGGCAGCAGGAACCCGAGGAGTACCACCAGGAGCAGGCCAGCGGGCAGAGGGTACGTCTGATGAACCGAGCGTTGCCACCGGCGATGCCACAACAGCAGCAGCCGGAGCAGCAGCAGGATCATCGCCAGTAGCTGGAATTGCAGCAGCAGGAGCAGCAGGTGAGCTTTGGCGACATTCCTGGCCTTAATTGAGTGGGGCCGGCACACTTCATTGCCTTTCACATTGAGGGCTTAAGCTCTTAACTTTTGCGGCAACCATTTGCATACCCTTCTTGGTGGGTATAAGGCTTTGTAGTAAAAGAATAACGGAAAAGGATCTTTCTTTACATTTAAAGATTATGCCATTATTTACTTAACTTTCCAATTTGAAGTCCCTCAGTTGCCGCCATAGTAAGTTGCAGCAGTCTGTGCGCTTAAGCTTCTCTTATTCCCTATTTGAATGCAGTTTATATCCCTTCTGTAAGAAGATAAGATCCCTGAAAGATGACTGACAACCATATAAGTAAAATCTGTCCCTATAAAGTAGTTCAATTTTAGAATATCCAAACTTCGACTTGGTCTTGCCACTTGAATTTTTATCCCGATGGCGAAACAGATTTCGTTGCCATGAAGTTCTCCTCCGGTTTTTTTTTTGGCGTTGTGTGTGAAATCGTTTGGAAGATAAATTCAAATTTGAATTCCACTCGACAAACGGGCCAATCCCCTTGGCCTCCGCCGTGTGTGTGAGTTGGTAACAACCAAACAAGCAATACAAATAACAGATTCAGTGGCAATAAATGCCAACGAGAGCTCTAGAGGATGGAGGACAGGATGTGGGTTGGGGGCACCGAGGAAGCCCTCAATTTCGGAGCGAAGAACATTCAATAGCCGGGGACCCAAAGCTGTTCTTTACGGCTGTCTGTGTCTGTCTGTCGGTCTGTCTGTATACAATAATCGTAATATGCATGAAATTATTTCTCAATTCGCAGGAAAATATTCACTGTAAATGTTTCGCTTGTCATTTCCTGTTTTATTTTCACTCTGCCTTCGAAATTCCCTGCATATTTCAGATGTCGAAACAAATCAGGGACGCAAGCAGCCGACAACAGGAGGAGCAGCACCGGGCATAAATGATGCAGCAGCAGGCGAAGCAGCAAGGGGAGCGGAAGCAGCTCAGGACAAGCCCGGTCGGGAGCTGGAGATGGAGACGGAGATGGAGCTAGAGCTCAAGGTGGAGCCAAAGAAGGAGCTCCAGCCGCCGGATGGGGAAAGCGAGGCTGGCGTGTCCAAGACGCTGGAAAATCTAAATTCCGTTGCGGCGGATATTATAAATATGTCGGATAAAACTACGGGTGCACCAGCAGGGGCAGTGGCCCCCCATCAGACCCTGATCCACACCCACGCCGATGTCCATGTCCATCATGGCCAGCCAAAGGCGAGGCAATTAGAAAATAATTTGCCAGAGTTGCTGAAAGCATCATCAGGTGAAAAGCAAAGCTGCCCACTGCCACAGCCAGCGCACAGCATTATTATGAATGACCAGCAGCAGCAGCAGCGGCAGCAGAAAAACAAACAGGACGAGGCCGAGGACGAGGACGAGAACGCGACAGCGGCAACAACATCAGCAGCTGCCATGTCAAAACAATCCTCGAAGCCCGGAGCAGCAGAGGTAGGAGCAATAGCTACTGCTACAGCCGGGCCAATGATGGATGACAGGCAAACAGTTGATTTTATAGAAGGCGACAGCCCAACGTCGGCAGTAAATTGCCAACTCAATGTTGGCACAAACCACAAGGCCCAGGAGCAGGGGCAGCAGCAACAGGAGCAGCAGCTAATGAAAACTTCACAACATACATCAAGCCAAGTGACAACAGCAGCAGCAGCAGCAGCAACAGCAACAGCAGCAGCAACACTAGCACCAGCAGCAGCAGCAGCAGCAAAAACGGCAACAGAATAAGCCAGGCATTAGTGGCAAGGCTCCCGACCCGAAAAAAAAGAGAAAAATACCAATCCAAAACCCAAACCCAGCACCCATGGAATCCCGAAAAAAAGCAAGCAAAAAGCCACAAAGCAAGATGTTATACATAAAGGAGCTAGTAAATTTTTAGATAATTTGTCTGGTGTACTTATGTCCGGAGATCAGCTACAGCTCGACGCACCGCCCAGGTCAGAATGTGTGTGTGTTTGTGGATGGATGGATGGATGGGATTGGGGGAATGCATGGACGAATGGATGGATGGATGGATGTATGGATGGGCGATGAGGGGCGACGTGTGATGAGAACGTGCTGTGAGCTCGGACTGAATCGAGAAACGAGGAGACGTGAAAGAGCGTAGTTGACCTGCTTGCACTAGCAGGCAAAGTCAGGATATATATTAATAATAATAATGTTGCTCGCCTTTTTAATTAGCCAAATACGTGAGAAGCCGCAACACATGTACGGATACGGATACACAAACATGCACACCGCAAGCTAGTCGCTTTTTAAACTTAACTTCACTTTTTTTTGCCTACCATATTTTGTTTGCCTTTCGGTTTTTGTTTTCCTTTTTTTTTCTTGTATTGAGAAAAATGCGTTGGAAATTTTTTAATTAACTTTCGAGCTGCCTTTTTACCCGGACCCAACTCCACCTAGCACGCCAACCGGACGGACAAACAGCCGGAAGCTCTTCCGGCCGATAACCATGCCGATGCCTGAGCCTTTGCCTCTCCCAGCTCCACCATAGCTAAGCGTCTTTTACCATTAACTTTATGAAAATACCATTTGTCAATTGTTATATAATTTTTTGAGGATTTTTCATTTGAAATTGTATCATGCAAAGGCCACAAAAGGAAGCACTGTGAATATTCATGAATAAATATCGTTGAATGTTTGTAAAAAAGTTAGCAATAACCATTATTGTCCTCCGATGGAGTCAATGCTGTTAGGGAATAATCATTAATTGTTTGATTTTGTTTCGTTTATATTTTGTACACTGTGTTTGGTCTGAGATAGTGTGAGTGTAAGGACGATAACGACGACGATGACATGTTTCTAGGACTAAACTAATAAGCAATTGATGCCCGAGGTCGGTTTATAATTCTTAACTTTACACCCTAAAACTTATATACTAGTAGCTATGACTATTTGCTATTGCTAAACAAATACAACAAAAAGATGTTATTTCTAAATGTGTATAAAAATAAATATATACGACATAAATCAATGTCCATAATGCGTGTGTAATTGTTGTTTTTGGAATGAGATGGAACAAGGCCAGCTGGACCTTGGTTTGGATTTCTAATGAGTCAGAAAATGGTTAAGCCATTTGCATAAATGTTAATGGGATGGCCTCGTTGGATGTTTAATTTTTGACTGGAACACAAACAAATTTTGCTACCATCTGAAATTGAAATTTGATTTGCATATTTCCGTCTTATAAACTAACGGAGCGAAACCAATTCTCGGGGTTGTCCGTGATGATAGATATTTCACGGATATAGATTTTTAATGATGCCAAAGCAAGAGGGATGAATATGAATTACGGGAAGAGAATATTTAACATTAATGGGTTTTGTTCTGCTAAAAATTTCATTATAAATCTAACATTTAAGTCTTTTAAAGTGAGAAACAGATCTCAAAAGTAATATATTTCTAGATTAGTTAGTGACACCGTTTCACCAATAAAAGGGATTAAAGTGTATTAAAAATCTTTGCCAGAATATATTTTAAAACCTCCTGTGCCATCATTATCATTATTGATGGCTTTAGGTATGTTTTCTTTTTTATTCCTCCCTCCGCACTCTGCCCTAAAAAAGTTTGCCGCAAAAATATGTAAATAAAACAATGCAAATTTTTAGAGAGTAGCAACTCCTTATGCTGTTGCTCCTGCTCCTGCTCCTGCTCCTGCTCCTGCTCCTGCTCCTGGCTGTAGCAACTTGTGCTGTCAGTGCGCATTTCTTCCAGCTCGCTGATGTGAGCACGCCAAGTAACTTACAATAATAAACAGCGGGCCGTCGTCGTCGTATGTTCCGATGTTGAGCGACTAGCAGACAGCAGCGGGGACATCCTTCGCCTCGCCAGGACGATGACGGAGTGAAGGTGTTCCGGGCCAGACAGCCCGTGACAGGCGGGGAGCATTCCAGCGAGATCCCATCAAGAGATGCCGAATGGTCGAGGAGTTGGGGAGGACATACATATTTATTATGTCGCAAGTACTCCGACGACTGCCTATATGAGCAACGTGAGCTTCCTTTGATTAACATCTTTATCAATATTTTCTTATTATTTGCTCATTTCATCACATAGACTGGGATCAGGAGCAACTTTTCAATAAAGGAAGAAGCTGGCAACTGACAGCAGTGAAAGAAAAAAAATATAAAAAATAAACAAATCATTTGCATCTCATTAATGCAAATCACACACACACACACACACGTTCCCCCTCTCTATGAGTGGGTGTATTTTAAAAGGCTTGTCAAGTCCTCACTCGGAGCCAGAGTAACCCCGCGGCGGAATCTCTTCCACGCTTTAAACCCAAACCCCCAGCTTCAGATCCCACACTCCCGAATCCGGGGAATAACCCTCCAAGGAAGCTGTTAATCAGAAGTCAAACAAAGTGTTGCCTACTTTCGAAGCTGTGATTACAAGCAAAACATTTTAATTGGCTCTCTTTATATATGTTTCCACAGCAAACACGGCTTCAAGGCAAATACATAAAGGCTTAAGTCCGCCTGAAAATATATCCGAAATAAACATACATATATCCCACGTATGTGAATAACGGTTTAGTTAGTTATATTTTGGCAAAGACCCCACGGGGCGTTTTGTTGAAATACTCGGGAATTGTAATTGAACTTACATAAATATAATAACCACTAACTATGGCACAGTTCAAAGTGATGTAACGGTATTATTTGTGGCACATGTGTGGAATTTAATTTTTATACTTCCCAAAATACTATTAAATATTTCGCATTGAAAAGAGCTTTAGGATTTTAAGTGTATATAATTTCAAATGACAAAGGTCTCGGATGCGGTGTGGAAAGGTCCCTTGTTTTTGTTGCAGGATATTATTATTTGAGTTAGAAGCTAACAAGGCCATGAAGGACTTATTTCCGACCCTACAAATCATATATATTATTGATCACTATCAAAAGCAGAGTGGATCTTGCCATGTTTTAAAGAAAAAAATGTTGATCAGTTTTGTTTAACATTTTAAAACTTTCAAAAACAGAAAAAAATTTTAAAATTAAAATTTATTTTACTAATTTGTTTACTGTACTAAAAACTAGCACAGAAAAGTTTTCCGAATTGAAATTAATGCATTTTTGGCAAAGTTATGATCGATTTTCGATGACGAATCTTAATCGAATTACATACAGCATACATACATACAGTATAAAAACTTCGTCTTTATGGATTCTAATTCAAAAATTTAGTTTAAAAGAATTGTGAAGATAATTATTAATTAAGAACATAATTCCTTATCCTTTCATTTTAAGGAGAAAAACCTCTATATTGTATATAAATATATACCTTATAAGAAATGTGTTGATAGAAATTTATTACGTACATTATTTTTAAAGAAATAAGAAAGATAATGAGTAATACTACTTCCAATTTTAATGAAAAAATCAGTAATATATTAATAAAATAATTAGAAACAAAAAAGATAAGGCTTGACTATAAGATACCAAGTAACTAAAACTATAAGCCTTAAGTTATAAAATAAAAAATCTATATAAATACACTGCGAAATGAACAAAAACAAGAAATGAAGCTAACTTCGGCACGCCGAAGTTTGTATACCCTTTGCAGATTGAAATTCAATCACTAGGAATTAATACAATAAAAATTATATATATTTATGTTAAAAAACAACAAAGTAATGCCTGCTCTCATTTCATTCACCTTTACATTTTATATTTCCAATGAGAGAATGAGACCTTCCCTACGCTTCTCAAAAAACTAAATTGTGTTTGCCTCCCATTTACTCTCTCTCAAATATAATACTTTCTTCGCTTTCACTCTCTCTCAAAAAGTGCCCTCCTCTGCGATTCTCAACCGGTGTACTTAAGCACCGTAGCAAACGCAATTATTTTTGTTCTTCTTCTTGTTCAGTTTAAAGTTTTTAATTAAATTTGAGTTTAAATATGTTATATTTTTGATCAATTTTAAGGACTTATCACATTTGTTTACTAACTCAAATTCTCATTCTTCAAAAAAAAAACAATAAGACCTTCCCTACGCTTCTCAAAAAACTAAATTGAGTTTGCCTCTCATTTACTCTCTCTCAAATATAATACTTTCTTCGCTTTCACTCTCTCTCAAAAAGTGCCCTCCTCTGCGATTCTCAACCGGTGTACTTAAGCACCGTAGCAAATGCAATTATTTTTGTTCTTCTTCTTGTTCAGTTTAAAGTTTTTAATTAAATTTGTGTTTAAATATGTTATATTTTTGATCAATTTTAAGGACTTATCACATTTGTTTACTAATTCAAATTCTCATTCTTAAAAAAAAAACAATAAGACCTTCCCTACGCTTCTCAAAAACCAAATTGTGTTTGCCTCTCTTTTACTCTCTCTCTTAAAAATAATACTTTCCTAGCATTTACTGTCTCTCAAAAAAGTGCCCTCCTCTGCGATTCTCAACCGCTGTACTTAAGCACCGTAGCAAACACAATTATTTTTGTTCTTCTTCTTGTTCAGTTTAAAGTTTCTAATTAAATTTGAGTTTAAATTAAACCTTTGCCTATTATAAAATCTGTGTTAAATCAAAGTTTTGTACGACAATTCCTACTAACAACATTCCGCAAAAATAGATGTACTCCACCAAGCCTGAGATCTGAGATCTTAGATATTTACTAATCATAGTTACTTAATGTTCATAGGAACTTACTGTTGACAGATGCTTATTGATCCTCTGCATTTAAATTGTATAGTATAATAAAATGGCTTTATCTCAAATTTGGTCAAATTCTGTTGAAAACTGAAAATGTTAAAATTTTTTTTGTAAAAATTTTCCGATCATTCCTATGACAGCTATATGATATAGTCGTCCGATCCGGCCCGTTCCGACATATATACGAGTGAGAGTATATAGAAGGCTAACTACAAAGTTTCATTCAGATAGCTTCAAAACTAAGAGACTAGTTTGCGTAGAAACGGACAGACGGACAGACGGACAGAAGGACAGACGGACAGACGGACATGGCTAGATCGACTCGGCTGTTGATCCTTATCAAGAATATATATACTTTATAATGTTGGAGATGCCTCTTTCACTGCGTTGGAAACTTCTGACTGAAATTATAATACCCTGCAAGGGTATAAAAATGTTCTAGGCTAAAATATTGTTAAAAGAAGATGTTGCTAGCACCACAACGATATTGCACAGGTTATTTGAATTTTTAAGAACACCTTAACTTGTGGATATTTTTCAAATCTCTTTATTTCTCAGAAGCCTTCAATAAAGTTAATTTAAAATGAAAAAGAACAAAGAACTCTTAGTGGAATTAGTAATTACAAGATCTAGGTCAAGCTTACCTTACATAAAAGACACTTTAT